TTAACCTTGGTAGGTATAAGGCTACGGGAGTAAACCCTGAACGAAATATCTGCGGTGGAGCCCAGCATTAGGCAAACATGCTTACAGAGCTCCAACAAGGCACCAACAGCGGTATTGGCGATAGAGGTGACCAACATAAGAACCCAACGACTACACCGGAGGATGAAGGCAATGCATGATGGACAGGCTACTAAGGCAAAACTCAACAAACAGGGCTATTGGTAGTCCATTGCAACTCTCCCTCTCCCCAATCATTGCAACACTTGCACCACTGGATCAGGAAAAGTGAGAGCCAAGATGTGTGGATGCAGCCTGCTCCTGCCTCACCTCATAAATAAACTCACACGCCGCCACCATCCAGCTCATCATACTTCTCATCATCATCAAAATCCCTATAATCCCAAAAGTCTTATGGCGACGGGCGAATGGTGATGGTGACCGGCAGAGATGACTGCCGGAAGTCTCTAGTCATATCTGTGCACGTGGGCGGCATAGATAAGATTTATGCACTGGGATCTAGGCAGTGGTGCAATCTAGTCTTGTCTGTGTGACTGAGCAGCCCTTTTGAGGAGTCAAATTGTTCACCCCACAGAGGAATGGGGCTAGAAAAGGTGAGCTAAACATAGCCTGCCTAAAAACCAACCTGACTGGGCAACTGCACCCAGTAAGGTCATCCTTATGCAGTCGAAAACACAATCATAATCACAGATCCAAACAAAAACAAACTATACAACCTCTTATGGTCGCTGCATGGAATATCAGGAACCTTCTGGATACTGGCACAAATGAACATCCTGAAAGAATATCTGCCCTTGTGGCAAAAAGAGCTGGCTAGGTATAACATCGACATAACAGCCATTAAAGAGTCCAGGCTCCCAGATGAAGGTCGACTCACAGAACCGGGATCTGGCTAAACCTTTTTCTGGAAGGGTAAGCCTACTGCAGAGAGAAACCGCATTTATGGAGTTGGCTTTGTTATTCACCAATACATCATACACAGGCTAACTGAAATGCCTGTTGGGATCAACGAGCGCCTCATGACGCTCAGAGTCCCACTGAATCACTCATGTCATGTCTTCTTCATCAGTGCATACGCTCCTACACTGAATGCAGAGGAAGACATCAAGGAGGCCTTTTACGCCAACCTTGACATGGGCTGATAAACAACCCGAATGGGGCTTCTCAACAGTGTCATGACAAAAACCTGCAGAGACACCCTCGGCCAGATAGAAAGAATACACCAGGACTGGTTTGATGAAAATCACCAGGAAATCAATGTACAGTACTCGTTGATGATAAAAGTGCTACTCTAATTAACTGGTTGAACAACCCTCAGTCTCAGACCAAAGCTGATACCTTCAACAATAAGAAAGTGGCGGTCCAGCGCAAACTTTGCAATCTAAAGAACGACTGGTTTAAAAATAAAGTGCCTGTATGTGAAATGCAAAAACTTGCAGATCAACAGAAGATGTGCAAATTTTCATTTCCACAAAAGCATTTTATGGGCCAATCACTTTTGCCGCAGACCCCTTCCGCTCATTCGACAGTAATTCCATAATTAAAGATGAAGAAGGCATCCTTCCGCGCTGGAAAGAGCACTACCATTTGTTGCTCAACCAAAACACTAATGTGGATGTCCTGAATACCCAGCAGGTCCCTCAGCACCCAGAGCTGACCCACCCCAGCTATCCTCCTTCCCTGGATGAGGTGGCTACTGCCACCAAACAGATGAAAAATAACAAAGCCTCAGGGTCTGATGGAATACCAACCGAGGTGTATAAAGCAGGAGGACCTTTGATTACCAACCGTCTCCACTCCCCCCTGGAGAATATATGAGAGAAGGAGGACATCCCCCAAGCTCAATATTTGTAAGAACAAGAGAGACCGATCAGACTGTGGCAACTACCGTGGGACTTCGCTGCTGTCCATAGCTGGCAAGATTATTGCCCGAGTCCTCCCAAACAGACGTCTTCCTGGGGCGGAAAACTTCCTCCCAGAATCTCCATGTGACATTAGACCATCACATGGCACCATTGACATGATCTTTTTTTGCCCGTCAATATACAGGAAAAGTGCAGAGAACTTTGTTGTGACCTGTACATAATCTTCATCGACCTAACCAAGGCCTTCAACTCGGTCAACAGGGAAGCCCTCTGGTGGACATCAACCGTTTTGGCTGCCCACCAAAATTCATCGCCATTGTGAGGCAACTCCACGATGGCATGAATGACAGTCCTGCACAATGACACCCAGTCTGAATTCTTCCACATCTAAATGGAGGTAAAACAAGGACGTGTACTGGCACCAACTCTGTTTCCATTTTCTTGGCTGCCTTCCTTACTGGTGCCAGCGCCAATTTAGCCAACAGGGTGGACATCCAGTACGAGATGAAGGTTCTTTTCAATATAATACGACTCCAAGTAGGAACAAAGGTGTCAGCAGCTTTCATTACTGAGCTTTAGTATGCAGACGACCTCATCATTGTCGATCACACTAAATGCAAGCTATAGAAGATCCTGAACATCTACGCAGATGCATAAGCACACTTCGGCCTCGAGGTGAATGTACGTAAGACTCAGATTCTCTTTCAGCCTGCCCCTGGTTCAGCCACACCTCCATCATCCATCCAGCTTAAAGGTTACCCACTTCCAGTTACTCGGTTTCCACCTGTCCACCACGGCAAACATCAATGAAGATTCAACATCGGATCAGATGTGCATCACAAGACTTTGGCAGACTCCGTACCAGCATCTTCAGCTGTAGGGAGCTGAAATTATCTACAAAGGTGCAAGTATATCGAGCAGTGGTCCTCCCCACCCTGCTATATGGCAGCAAGAAATGGGTCACATACAGGAGGCACCTCAAGGCACTTGAAAACTTTCACCAACGTAGTCTACGTTCCATCCTCCAAGCTCGTTGGGAAGACAAGAGAACAATTGCCAGTATTCTTACTGACACCAATTGTAGAAGGATCGATGCAACCATTATCCATGAACAACTACTTTGGACTGACCATGTTACCCGCATGGAAGACAGTAGACTGCCCAAGCAGCTACTTTACAGTCCCCTAACGAATAGTAAACATAATGCTGGTGGGCAACTGAAAAGTATACAGTGGTACCTCGGTTAACGAGATTTCGGTTAACGAGTTGCCTTCCATAAGATTCTTAACTTCGGTTAACGAGCAATCCCTCGATTAACGAGTTTCTTACGAGCCAACCTGAACATGATTTCGCTTGCATTTGGCGGTCCACCAGCTGTAGTATTAGTCCGCCAATACAGTAATCGGTTCTAGGGCTTAAATTCCTTACCATTTTAGCAAATATCAAGAAGTTTATACTATTCAATAATTTTAAAAGTTTAATATTAAATTTTTTACTCATTTTAACAATTATTGAACATAATTGAAGGTAATGAAATTAGTTTTATGCGTGCCATCCAGCCTCTCAACACAGCATACAGGCGTCAGTCTTTGTGTCTTTTCAGTGGAGGTAACATCTTGCTTGAGACTCTCTTCAACTAAATGCCTTTTTTCTGTTTTTGCAAGCAAATTTTTGGTCATTTTGAAATTTATTTTACATATTGACAATATATAATGTAGTGCAGTGTTCATTTAAAGAAAATAATCTTGAATTGCACCAAGAGAACTAAAATTTCATGGGTGAAATGGCGCCATGGGGTGACTTCTCTTCCACATCAATGCCTTCTCTTCTCCCTTCTCCACCCCCATTCTAATTCCCATCATCATCATCCAGGAGCCTTCTACATACACACCTCAAAGTAAGTGTACTTTTCTACCTTTTTTGTTGAATTTAGGCAATTTTTGGTGAGCTGGAACCAATTACCCAAAAACCCATTGAAACAATGGTTTCGGTTAACGAGTTTTTCGGTTAACAAGCAACCTTCTAGAACGGATTGTGCTCGTTAACCGAGGGACCACTGTATGGATAGTCTTCAGACAAACCTGAAAATGTGCCAAATCAGCCACACAAGAAGGTGTCAATACTTTCGAATTAGTCTGACTGCAAACCGAGGCAGACAAGCGCCAACACCGGAAAGACGCTCCGGCACTAGATGGAGCCCTCCAAATGTGCAACATCTGTGAATGGCTCTGCCGGTCCTGTATCGGCCTCTTTAGTAACACCAGAACTCACCAACGAAGGTGACATCCTTAATAACTCATATCATTGTCTCATAGCTGGATGATCGTCATACGCGATTCTGAGTGACAGCAAAATAGTAATAGTAGTAGTAGTAGTAGTAACAGCAAATATGTTGAAGGAAATCTGCCGGGATGTCATGGTAGAACCGACCCTCCTTCCATTGGATGGTGAGATCTTCCAACACAGGACTTCAAACACATCTAACGAAGCCCGTGTGGACGTCAGTGCTCGAGGATTCTGTACGCGGGGACAGCGAGCTTTCTTCGACATCAGGATTTTTGATCCCATGGCCGCATGTCACCGTAACCTAGTTCTCGATGCTGCACATAGGAGGAACGAGAACGACAAGAGAAGGGCATATGGGGAGAGAATTCAAAATGTTGATCAAGGCAGCTTCACTCCTCTAGTGCTCACAACCTCTGGTGGGATGGGACCAAGTGCAAGATGTTTCTACGCCAGACTCGCAGAGGTGATCTCCGAACAGAAGCAGCAGCCCAGAAGTTACATTACAGCCTGGATGAGATGTCGACTGTCTTTCTCTCTCCTTCGGTCGGCTTTGCTCTGCCTCAGGGGAACGAGAGCTTCTGCCCCAATCCCGACAACTGCTGCAGATATTGACTATGAGGCAACAGTCACTGAATGCCGCATAGATCTGCAGCTCAACTAATTCAACACAGATAGGATAGCTACTTATGTATTAGGATATTTAATATTAAGGTAATTAAATGGTGGCGAAGGTGTGGCTATTGGGGGAGGCTGGAGGCCATTTAAAAAAGTAGTAGTAGTAGTAGTAGTAGTAGTAGTAGTAGTAGTGTGTGTGTGTGTGTGTGTGTGTGTGTGTGTGTGTGTGTGTGTGTCCACTCCAACATTCCTTACTTATTGACAAAGCCTCATACTGGAAAATCTTTTATATCTACATGTTAATTCTCCTCCCTCAGCTGCCCGAAATATTTAAATTCTTCATAAACTGACCCAAGGCTCCTAACTCTGCCTCAATGCCTTCCGTGCAACTATAGTTCGTACTTTACAATATTCTATACAGCCATAACTCATACTTTTCAATTTTTACATTCAAATCATACTTAACATATTTTATACAGCTTTAAATCATACTACAAGTAGTATACATATTTTATACAAATTTAAATCATACAATTACTATATACATATTTAAAACAAATTTAAATCCTATTATACATACTTAAAAGATTTAAATTACACTAATAATATTCAAAACAAATTTAAATCATACTATACATATTTGAAACGGCTTTGAATCATACTACTGTATATACAATCTACACAGATTTAAATTATACTCCAGCCTGGTTTCCCTCTGTCACTCCCATAACTGAACAGTATAAAAATAAATATAAATATACACAAACACTTCGACAACATCTGCATCATGTACTGCACTGTTACATGTACTGAAATAATTATATTATAGAAGTTGAGAAAAAACACTGAATTTACATCCAATTGGAGATTAAATAAACCTCACAGTTCACACAATGTATTCTGATAATATTCACACTTCATGTAATTATGGCCTTTATTAACTAGTATGGCAACTGTCCGGACATAACCCCAAGAGTAACTGTCCAGACATGAATTCCATGACTAATTGTCAGAACATAAACCAAGTGTAACTGTCAAATCATAAACCAAGTGTAACTGTCTGGACATAAACCACATCAAATCGTCTAGATATTTCAGGTTCAGTATTATCTTCATGAACCTTTTCAAAAATATTCTTTCGTATTTTGATGACAACTCAGTTCATGAAAGTAATAATCTCTGACATATACTATACTATGTTAATCACATATTCCAAATCGGTGTTCAGTATTACTAAATGGATAACATCGAAAAACAAAATTAAATTCCATTGAATATTATCACACTAGTTGGGGCTACACAATACAACATACTCTCTCTTCTTCCATAATGTTACCCACTCCAAACATATTATTTTCTAGTCTCATTATCTATTTTCTATGTATGGTCTCCTTTTATATTATTTTTTCATGGGAACACACTCCCAAATTTTTGTGCACTCGTGTTCATGTCTTATACACTGCCACAAGAGACAGCAGGGCCTCCAGGAGTACACCACTGGCTCTACCACCATCATAGCCAACTGTTATCTATGAGCTAAAGTCTTCTCCTTGACTTTAGTTCTGTCTCTTTCCTTTTCTAGTGCCTCTATATACAGTGGCCTCAGGTCTGTGGGCTTGAATTTCCTGTAAATAAGACGAAAATTACTGTATATTGTGACAGAGCTTCAAATATCTGTAAATATAGTGCTGTACAGTCTCCGTCAATAAGGATAGGATAGCTTAGGTTTAACTTGTACCGTTAGTATTCATTAGTATTATATAAAAACTGCACTATAGCTATACACATATATACAGGCATAATAAATATTCAAATGCTTGACAATATTGTCACAAGCTTGCACTTTTCTCCAAAGACTGCCAGAGGTTACCTGAGCTGGCATCTTCCTCAAAGGTAAGGCCAGAATTAATTGAGATCAATGTAAACAAACTGGGGTTCTGCCAGCTCCCTCCCTATAGGTTCCAGCAGCAACCCAAGGTGACGACAATGAATAATAACCACTGGCAGGGAAGTCAGATACTTAACTAAGAGTAGCCTCCAAGTGTTATTAACAGTACTTCCTTGGAGAGGATTCACTTAATATCCTTTCAGATCTTGTCTGTATACATAATGTGTATAAACAATAAATACAGAAAACGCCAAGAAGTGTTTACCTCAACAACCTGCCACTAATGATTTCCAGAACTTAACTACAATAATTTGTGGCGTTAGAAACACACCATACCACATGGTGGCAAGCGGAAAGACAAACATAAAAATCAGTGAAATAACTACAAGTTCCAGTGTATTATGAATAGTGTAGCCTACACAAGTGACACTAAGTGAATCATCAAACATTTTTTTATATTTCCAAGAAATTCAGTGGTGGAAAGATAAAGACTTGCTGATTTTAAACAGCCAAGTCCTAAGTACCCAGCAGTGAACTCCACCAGCACCCAGTGGAATCGACACCTCCTGAGACCAGCTGAGTGTTACGACATCGGAACCATCCTTCCTAGAGAAGCTGTTCCAGGTTCCAGCAAACGTTGCGATGGTGTAGTAGAAAGGTCAATCCCATGTTTATCATTGCAAGAAAGGTCAGAGTTCGATTTCAATCAACTGCCAGACACAATGTCATTGACTTCAAGAGTAGGATGTCATCGACTTTCGACATCACCATGAGATATCGAGGTCCCAGCCGTCATTGAAACTACAGATTATACCGTCCTGTCTTCCGGTAGACTACAAACATTCATTATTTTTACAGACTACACAAACACAAAAGTTCTTTCAGTAGTCTTCACTAGGTAGTCAATATAAATTAAACCATATATCTAAATGCCTAAAATTTAAACTAAATAAAGACATCTGATAACACATTTATAAAGTAAGAGAACCATCACAAAGTACCTGTACTGTAAGTCTCTTTTCTCTTGTTATTCCCATAACTCATTATAAATACTTTTGAGTAGGTAAGCGAGTGTGTGTTATGTTGACATTTAATGATACATAATCTTATTCATGGACTCATCAGAGCTGGAAGCAACTAGCAAGGAACTACCAAATAGAGTTAACTCTTACGGATTCAGTAAATAACTGTGAAAAATTAATCAAATTCTCAGTCTGAGGAATTAAGCAGTAGGCAACTTAGGTCTGGTACCACTTACCCATTACCTTTACTTGTCATCAAAGCTAAAGCTTTAACTAACACTGCAATGATAGCATGTCTTCAGATGGTTCTACTAACACACTTCAGCTCGTTAGTCACTTGGGCGGTAGGTCACGTCTCTGTTACACACTGTTGGCAAGTACAGGGCATGTACTGGCTCATGAATGTGACTATCTACGCCACTGTTGGTCAAGTCTGGTCTGGAATGAGCTCTCACTTGGTGCCATCACCACACTCTCTGGCAGATTGTTCCAAGTGTTCACAATTCTCACTCCAAAAACGTTTGTCCAGATAGTTTTCTGGACTTGAGCTGTGACCCACTGTTGGGCAGGTGTCCACCAGCTCCAGGTATGGACACTTGACTAATTAGTGTCCTCTGAGATGTTTATACAACACAATTAGGTCACCCCTTATCCGTCTATAGTATATGCTAGGCAGGTGCAGGCGTTCTAAGCTCTCTGGGTAACTGAGGTATTGTCGTGCAGGGACCAGTCTGATGGCCCTCACTTGGACATTTTCAATCAACTGACAATCTCTAGCTTATCTTGGGGACCAGACGGAGTGACAGTACTCCAGATGGGGAAACACCTCACTCTTGAAGAAAGCTACGAGGGATGGACTGTCTAGATATCTGAACGACCTTCTTAAAAAACCTACTAGTTTAGTTACTCGATTCACCTTCTTTTCACAATGGCCCAAGAACTTCAGTTCATTGTCAACAAACACACCCAGGTTCTTTTCACATTCGGTCTCTATTAATTAAATTTCTTTGTCCCGTTGAGACATGTGATATGCCTCTGTACTGTACTGTTAGTACGACCTAGGTGCATCCTCCTACACTTCATGACATGGAATCTTAGCAGCCATTTCTTCGACCACTTTTGAAGCTGACAGAGATCGTTCTGTAGCTCTTTCCCAGAATCACTTCGCATCATCTGCAAACACTACCATGTGGAATCCCGCTTGTCACGGGTACACATGACAATTTCGTGCCATTAATCACCACACTCTGCTTGCAATCATGAAGAAAGTCTCCGGTCCACACCAGGACACTTCCCCCAAATCCCCTATCCTTCCAATTTAATTATCAACCTTTCATAGGGTAGGCTGTCAAAAGCCTAGGCAAAATCTAGGTATATAATGTCGGCCATGCAGGCGCTGCAACACAGTCAACCAAGAGACAACGTCCACATCATAACCTCGATCCTCGCACAGCTACAGGACTTCCAAAGACAAAATCGCCCAGTCGTCTTACACTGGATTCCCAGTCAGGTAGGGATTGGGGGAAATGACATGGCAGACGAAGCAGCCAAGGCAGCCACACGTTCTAAAAGCATACACATTCAAGTTCCAGCAAGCGTGCAACAGATCAAGAACCACCTCAGAAAGACTACCAAGCTCCACATCCAAAAGAGCTTCCTTCACGCATTCAACGCTGATTCCCAATCAGCCAAATGGTATCTGGTGGCTACAAAAGGGGAACCACCTTTCGCGGACAAGAAAACACCAAGACAAACCCAAGTTAGCCTTCATCGACTACGGCTAGAGTACAAGTGCACCTGGCAGACGATCGGAAATGTCGTCAAGGAATGCACCTACTGTCAGGAGCCAGCGGCCAACCCACTGGAACACTATCTCCTCGACTGCGAAGTCACACATAGTCTCCAAAACAGAATTCGAAACTTCCAAGAACACACAACACCAGTGGCCACTCTAACCCGAAAGGCCCAAACAAACCACATTCACCACCTTCTACGGGTCATCACACGATACCCACCACCCAGATAGCTTAGGAAGTATCCTCCCCCAGCAAGTGCGGACCCCAGTTCGGGGGGCGCGCCACTCCGAAACTGACCACGTCCAAGAGTGGGGGTTGGTGGTAAGCGCTCACTGACCGAGGGTCCGCTCACACTTGCAAACCTGCAGTATCCTTTCATATCTGCAGGTAGGACAACCTCCAATCCCAAATCCAGTCTGGCTGTCCCAAGAGCTCCAGCTGGAACCACCAAATGGACCGCCTACAGGCAAAGGCCCATGTACAATCTCAACAACAACAACAACACCACATTGGCAGTCCTTTACAAGGTTGTTTCGGAGTAGATGTTCCGTCATGGTATCTCTTTTGATGCTCTCTAGTACTTTACACACTATGCTGGTCAAACTTACTGGTGTATAATTAATTATTCGTGGAGTGACGATCATCCTTCTTAGATTTAGGACTCACATAAACTATTTTCCAGTCCCTGGGGACCTTTTGCTCATACAGGCTTTTACAGACCCCCCAGGTCTTTCAATCTGTGGAAATACTTCAAAATAACATTAAAGTTTAGGAATTTACAGGTGACGATGACGATTATAATGTCATGACATTCCTGCAAGCGTGCAAAGATGAGGATAAAATCGTATATACCTGAAGTAACGTCACAACTGATAGTAAGACGCATAGAAAGATGTACGCCATGGCCTTTGACAATAAAAACCTTTAGTACCAAATGTCTAAGGGTAATTTTATATCCTTTTTCAGGTCGAGTACAAAGGCAGATGCGCTCACTTGGATCTTCAAGATGGCAGAGCATACAGTTGTCAATGCATTTGTTCATGATGCACAGGAGACACAAGCCATTGCCAGACACATTGATGAATTTTATGGGTTAAGGACCAAGGGAACACTACTATGGCCAATTTCTGTAAGAAAAATGAGTTCCAACAATTTATTATGGTGATGCAACCAGCTGAATGCAAAGCAGCCAGAAAGAAAGAATGTAAACCCATGACCAATCTTGTAAACTAATTGGAAGAAATTTCTGATGTGGTGGAAACTACTCCCTGGACTATGCCAGTAGCACCAGTAACCAGTGCCAAGGACTCACCTCAAAATAACACAGGAACAAAAACCAAAAACGTACCTTTCTGCAAAATCTGCAAATGGAAAGGGCATATCACCAATTGTGAATACATTAGTTTAATTTTTGATTAGTTATTCATGTTACATGTTCTGTGAGGCAATCTAACAGCACCATCTGTTGAGAGATGTTTTAACTACCCTTTTTCTTGCTGTTTTAAGTCCTCATTTAAAGGTTTGTTTGGTGAAAGGATTCAGGGAAGCACCTGGGCAGTCGCTTGACTCCCATCAGCCACTGACGGCACAGGTACGCTTCGTTCCCAATTCTTTGTGGTGTCCATTCCTGTTTTAATAGTGAAAAAAGTTTTGGTTGCTGGGTCCATTATAGTTGGACACTTTGAAGTTTATTTTGTATTATTTCTGGTGTGTTCCTTTACCAGGAATCTACCTGAGTTAAGGACCAAACTACAGGAGATGTCCATTCCAACCGACCTGATTAGCTACCACCTGGTTCCGTCAATTCAGTCAAGCCACACTACTCTTCTGCATCAACTCCCGACTTCAGTGAACCAACTTTATTCTTCATTCTTGGTCTACCTGGAACCCTGTTATTTACAATGCACCATAGTTCACCCCTACGGCACTGATGAGGTTCTAAGCTCTAGTGGGGAACCCAGATCAGAGAGGTTTTGTCCAACTATAGTTTTCTTCAATAGTGGTGGAATGTTGGACCTTAACGGTTGGAAGTGGATCAGTGCTAATTTCTTGTACCGATTATTCTTAACTGCTAGTGACATATTTTTGTGTTATTTTATTCCTACATTAACAGTTGTGCCATTATTTCCTACATTCACCTTTATCACAATCTTCAACACTGCCTGTAACATACATTGTAATTTCACATATTGACTATTAAACTCTTCTATTTTGTTAATAACACAGTACCTGCACATACTAAATATATTGGAGGCAAACTTTAATCTTTGATAATTATAGCTTTGTATACATACTGTAGTACATTACATATAGAAAATAAAACACTGACTGATGACCTGTGATAATGGCATTTCCTTTCAAGAGAAATTATGTTTTAATCTTTATTTGAAAACACGAATACCGGGTAATTCATTGTACTGCACCTTGACATGAATACTTACGAATACTGTGAGAAGGGGACGCCTACTATGAGGACAGGGTTGGACTTGATGTTAAGTCTCCACATGCCATGGTGGTAGCCCCGGCCATCAAGGTCCCATATACGTAAGCACTGCAAGTATCGCTAGAATTAGATGACAGTAGAAATGTTTTCAAAACTTCAGTGAACAAAAGGAGTGTAACTTGCCCTAACCTGTGGTGGTGTAGACGTGAATATCATATCCTGCACTTCATCTGAGGATAGTACAGTATATATGTATGTGAAGTTCCATAAAAAATATATGTATAAATATAATACTCTATACTTTACTTTATCCTCTACACCACTGATCGACTTGTCAGCCTCTTGGATGGTTGGTCACATCTCTGTTATGGATTGTTCACAAGTACTGGGCATGTACAGGTTCCAGAATGAATCTGTGCCTGCACCAGTGATGTGATGGTCAAGTCTGATCCCGAATGAGCTCATACTCGGCGCCGTCACTTTAGACAAGGAAAGTTTTACAGATACTGTACCTATAACACAATCAGTCTGTTTTTCAATGTAAGCTTATTAAACTATGAAAAATTGAGAACCGTAATAGACAACGTAACAGCGTTCAACTCTAGTTACCTCCTTGTCATGGAGGATTTCAACTATGGTGGCATCGACTGGAGAAATGGAATTACACCAAGTGACTTCAATAGCCCCGCTACTCTTTTTGTAGAAACTCTTGAGAAACAATATTCTATTCCAGCATGTTAACGATCTGACTCAATATAGAGGGGAACAAACACCCAAACTGAGGGACGTCATCATAGCCAACGAGGAGGGTATGGTGGCTAAGCTGGAAAATCTAGTCCCCGTTGGCACCAGTCATCATGTGACATTGTCCTTCAGATTTAACTGTTACCTGATTAATGATAAGAACAGGCTAAGGTTCAAATATTACAGTGGTGATTGCTACAGGATGAGGGAGGAGATAAGGGGCATTCACTGGTCTGACTCACTGGTAAACAAGAATGCAGATACAACCCTGTACATAACAATCAGTAAAGTTAACTATTTGATCGATAAATATATTCGCAAGACCAAAACCACTGGCTCCAGGAAAACAAGGAAATCTTTACATGTGAATCATGCGGCAGATGACAAAGTTAAGAAGAAATCTCAGAAATTCAACAGATGGGTCAAGGCATTAAATAATTTCTTTTCTTCGGTGTTCACAAGAGAAAATGCGAACAATCTCGCTGCGTTTGAGGAAAGATGGCTAACACACATTGTGTTCTCAAAAGAGAGCATTATGAATAAAGTGTCAAAGCTACTGTATAAGTTCATAAGAGTCAAGGCCCGGAGAGCATGCATCCCAGAACGCTAAGAGAGTTGAGCAACGAGCTTGCTGTACCCCTTTAAATCTTGTTATGCAGACACATGGATGATGAAAAGATCCACAATAACTGGAGAATAGCATATGTGAGTCCTATATTCAAACAGGGGGATCACCACTCCAAAAATAATTAAAGGTTCTAGAGCATTTTAGCATTATAATAGATGCGATGCTGGAACATATGCTACGAAACAACCTAGTTTTATGCAGTGATGCTCCTGCTAGACGCAATTACTTAAGGTACTGGAAGTTTGGACCAAGATCCTGAAGCATGATGGTAATATCAACAACATATAGTATACAGTATCTGGACTTTGCTAAGGCTTGCAACAGCGTACCGCAAGGAAGACTATAAATTAAACTGGAAAGGTACGGAATAAGGGGAGTGTCCTAGCGTAGATCGAAGAATTTCTTCGTGACTGCAAGTAATATGCGAAGTGATTAACGCTGTGAAATAGTCATACATCCCCGAGACAAGTGGAGTATGAGAGAGTACTGTAGTGTACTAGGCTTGTTGTTGTTTGTTTGTTTCATACACGACATCCCAGAAGCTATACACTCCTCCATGCAAATGTTTGTGGACGATACCAAGTTATTCAAGGAAATTAAGAGCCAGATGGACTGTGAAGAGCTACAAAAAGATATCTGTCAGCTTCAAGAGTGGTCGAAGATATGACTGCTAAGATTGAATGTCACGAAGTGTAAGAGGGTGAATCAAGCAACTAAGCTCGTGGGTCTTATAAAAAGGAGCGTTCAGATATCTTGACGGTCCTTCCCTCATAACGCTCTTCAAAAGTGAGGTGCTTCCCCGTCTGGAGTGCTGTCACTCCATCTGGTTCCCGAGATACGCTAGAGATTGAAAACGTCCAAAGGAGGGCCACCAGACTGCCATAGTGCAATGAGATTAGAACACCTGCAACTGCCTAGCTTACACTATAGGTAGGCAAGTGGTGACTTAATAGAAGTCTATAAACATCTTGGAGGACATTACTCAGTCCAGTGTTCATACCTACAATGGGGCCTAGGGGGGGGCGAAAAAAAAAAATAAAAAAAAATAGAAAATAAGAGATTATATAAATCTACATCACGAAGCTGCCAGAAAACCATTTTTTTGAAGTGAGACAGATTGTATGAGTATGGAAACATAGAAGAAGGCAGAGCATTCCACCGTTTGGCTGTGTGAGGAAAGAAGGATGTACTACAATGGGTTATTCTAGTGTGACCGACATCCACAGAGAAACGGTGGGCACCTCGGGCAAGACGAATGATGCGAGCCCACGGCCTTGCCGGCGATACACAGGATACCAAATCCACCAAACATTGTCCGTTAAAGTACCTGTAAAAGAGAGAGTGTGAAGCAACATTGCGGTGAAGAGAAAAGGAAGAGAGATGATCAACTAAAGGAGGAGATTCAATAAGACGAAATGCCTTTGATTCCAGCCTGTCGAACAGTTGGACAGAAGAGCCACCCCAGATATGAGAGCAGTACTCCAAGTTAGGACGAATAAATCCTGATATACTTGAAGCAACTGCTCAGGAGTGAAGTAGCTACGGCATCTGTACAGCATTCCCAGCTTTCGGGAGGCAGCTTTAGCTTGTGGATGTGTGGCTTCCACGACATATTAGAGGAAATGGCGAGGCCTAGCATATCTATTTTAGAATTTGGCAGAATGATTGCTCCCTGAAAAGTGATTGGTAGGAGATCAAGTAATTTGGAAAGTGTAATTGGTAAATACTGAGTTTTATTACAATTGAATTTAATCGAGTTTCTACCTCCCCATTCGGAGATGCTGTACAGATGCACATTGATAGATGAGATGATATCAGCTCTAGAAACAGATCTAGTTTGAGAATTAGGAGGAAGGGAAAAATGTGAAGAAGAGTAAAGAGTAGAATCATCAGCGTAAGAATGGATAGAATAAGTCGTAGTGTGAAGTGAATCATTGATAAAAAGAAGGAAGACAGTAGGTGATAGAGCAGAACCCTATGGGACACCACTATTGGTAGAGAAAGAGCGAGAGATAGATCCCTCGACAACAACTGCCATAGATCGGTTTTCAAGGCAGCTAGAAATTAGATAACAAAGTGGGGGAGAGAAACTATAAGAGGGAAGTTTAGGAAGCAAAGACTTGTGCCATACCCTGTCAAATGCTTTGGAGATGTCGAGGGCCACGACGGAATGTTTCCCCATAATCCCTAAGAGAGGATGACCAAAGATGGGTGCAATAGGAGAGCAGATCACCAGTAGATCTCGCCTGGCAAAAGCCATACTGGTGATCCGACAAAAGGTAATGGCGTTCAAGGTGACGGGGAAAATGGGAGTTCAAGATAGTTCGAAAATCTTAAAGAGGGATGAAGTTAGGGCAATGGGGGTATAGTTAGAGGGATTTGAATGGTCACCCTTCTTCGGGATGGGCTGAACCGGGGCAAGCTTCCAAGAAGAAGGAAAAGTTTGGATTTTGAGGCAAAGGTGAAAGAATTGAGCAAGCACAGGGGCTATAATTTCAGCACACCCCCCAGAACACGAAGGGGTACTCTGTCCGGTCCATGCGCCTTACTCACGTCCAACCTGGATATCACACCAGCAACCCTACGAGTGGAGATTATAGGAAAGTGCATAGGTTCAATCGGAGGAGCATGGGTAGGAGGGATAGAGTTGAAATTGTCTAAGATGGAGTTAGAGGAGAATAAGGTGCCAAAGAGATTGGCTTTATCAGGGGGAGAGTTGGCTATAGAGTTATCAGGTCTGAAGAGAGGAGGAAAAGAGGGAGTGCAGAAGATATTACAGTATTATGCGGGGATTATAATGAAATTGGCACCACTGATATCCAGGACCAGCTGTCACTATCATAAGTTGTGAACTTTCCCACACGCAGTCAAAATACCCTTGACCTTATCTTAACCGACTTAGCGGACCAGTACCAACCACCTCAACCACTGCTTCCTATCGGGTGTAGCACACACCTATCAGTGCTCTGGTCCCCAGCTGCCACTCCCACTCAAGTACAGAGACCCTACATCAGGACCTACAGGCCGATTACTGACTCTGCAGTGCGTCTCTTTGGGCAGTGGATAGTTCACCATCCCTGGACTGAAGTACTTAGTGTGGATGACGTGGACACCAAATGGATAAATTATACCAACACCACCACGGAAGCTCACCACCAGTTCTTCCCCGAGAAATCCTTCAGAGCTCACCCAGCTGACTTGCCCTGGATCACACCTCTTATCAAAAGACTTATGCAACAGAGAGACAGAGCCTTTTATCTCAATGACCACAACTGCTACAGGTCCCTGCGCAACCGAGTCATCCGCGAAACACACACTGCAAAGAAGTCTCACTACCCAACCAAATTGCAACGCCTGAAGCAGACCAACATCAGTCAGTGGTATGGTAAGCTTAAAGAACTCTGTGCACTAAACAATAAGACACACCCCCTCCGCTTCCTTAGCCATCTCACTAATGTTGACGCAGCTGAGCAATCAAATAACCATTTCGCTACTATATGCCAGACGCTCCCCCGGCTTGACACAACCAATCTCCCTGCTTACCTACCAGCCCCTTTCCCGCTGACTTAGTAGAAGAATTTGAAGTAGCAAAACGTCTGGACAAACTGAAATTAAAACGCTCTACCACCCCCATTGACTTACCAATGAAACTCTTCAAGGAGTTCTCCATCATCAATGTTTCCCTCAGTCAAGCAAGATGCCCAGTTGGCTGGAAGACTTCATCTGTGTCACCAGTGCCCAAGTCAACCAGCCAACAATCCTTAATTCAGCTAAGACCCATTGCAATCACCCCAATACCCAACTTAATCTGTGAAAGCTTTGTGTTTGACTGGGCTTATGCTGATATTACAGGCGCCGTAGATTCTCAGCAATTTGTTAATATGAAAACTTCCTCCACCACTCACTGTCTTGTCAGCTTTCTCGACTATATATACCGCCATCTGGAAAAACGAAAAACGTCTGTAGCTGTCGCCTTCATTGACTTCACCAAGGCATTTGACCTAGTCGACCACAATTTAATCATCAACAAAGCTATCGACCTCGGGTTTCGAAGAAGTCTTATACCATGGCTTACAGACTTACTCAGTAACCGACGCCAAGCTGTACGCTTCCGAGGGGCTGTCTCCACCTTTCAGCCCTAAGATAAACCCCTGCTCACTGGAAATATGTCGACAACTCCACCATTAGGATCAGTGTCAAGAACCCTGCTCCGACTATACCGCTCTTCAGGATTTATTGGACAGTCTCCAAAACTGGGCCACCAACAACCATGTCACCATCAACCATACCAAGACCATGGTTATGCACATCAACCTCTCCTCCGACGTTGCCCCACCCCCTTCCATTTCTTTAGGTTCCAACACACTCCAGGTTGTAGATTCCACGAAGCTCCTCGGCGTTACCATAGACAACAAACTAAATTGGAAACCACACGTCAGTGAAGATGTCAAATCCTCCAGTTTCCGTCTCCACCTCCTCCGCTGACTCAAGTCCCTCAGAGTTCCTGCGCCCGAGTACTTCCCAAACTCACCTATGCCTCCCCTACCTGGTCTTCCTCCCTTAATGCCACACAATGTAAACGCCTAGAAAAAGTGCAAAAGAGGGCATGCAAGATTATTCTCTCCCCTTCCTACTCCACATATCAAGAAGCGCTCAACATACTGACCCTCTCGGCTCTTTCTGACCATCACCACGACCTCATCTGCAAATTTGGTGAGAAGCTACTGCACCATCCTCAACACCGGCTCCTACTACCACCCGAGATCCCTCGTCCAAAAATTGCTGTTCGACACCACAACAGCATGCAGCCCATACGAGCACAAACTGATCGCTATAAAAACGGCCCCAGTCCCAACCATTGTAAGAATTATCACTAACTTGTAATCAACCAGTGTATTCACTCCTAGTCAATCTTACTTTTCGCACTGTCACTATGTTGAAATGCCCTGTAGTTTGAGCTTCTCTGCACCTAATTATTATATATCATATTTGTATCACTTATGTTACTTGTATATCATTTCTGAATCAAGAGACCCATTCTCCAATTGTGAAATTGTGTATTTTCAGCCTTCAGGCTACCATGCTCTTTCAATAAATGTTAATAATTATTATTATTATTATTATTATTATTATTATTATTATTATTATTATTATTACTACTATTACTATTATTATTATTATTATTATTATTATTATTATTATTATTATTATTATTATTATTATTATAATGTTTTTGGTTAAGGACCAGAAGGATTTACTAGAAGAAGAGTTAGTCAGGACGGCGGTCTTTCTTTTTATAAAATTCCGACTGGCCCTACGAATAGCCTTACAAAGATTCCTAGAAGTAATGAAAGAGGAATTGGTAATAGGGGAAGGAGATAGCTTCATAACTTGACCTGCCCTACCTCTCTCCATGCATGCAAGAGAACAGGAGCGATCAAACCATGATTGTAAAGTGATAGTTTTGGCAGATGATGGGATAAATGCACTCATACCACCCTGTATAACCCAAGCAATGCTGTCAGCACATATCAAGGCGTCCCGAGTGGAAAAGCAACATTTATCCCAAGGAAAGTCGGTGAAGAATTCCCGCAAGGATTGCTAGTTTGCCCTCCGATATTGCCATAGTCTGCGTGTAGAGGGGGGGTGGGGGAGGTGGTCGTGCCCAGTTTGATTTAATAGAAACAAAATTGTGATCAGAAGACCCTAAGGGGCCAGGAATTGAGTATGAATAGTGTGAGGGGTTAGAGGTAAAACAAAGATCATGAATGTTAGAAAATTGATCGTGTCGATCAGGAACATGTGTTGGGTGTTTAATTATTTGTTCCAGATCATTAAGTCAGGAAAAATAGAGTGCCTCAGCTCCACCTGGGTCAACCCTCGCAGAGCCAAGCCACTCTCTGTGATGTACATTGAAATCCTCAAGGTAGTGGATCACGGTGTTGGGGTGTGTGGGTAGCAACGACGCATGGCAAGAAGTGAGATACACAAAGAGTTCTAAATAGTTGGTAGAGTTGAGAGAACAGTACAGTATAGGAAACAAAGAAAAATAGTCACAGTTGGTAGAGATATTTTGAGCCAGATGACATAATAAAGAGAAGGTTCAAGATCAGTGAGTCGAGCTAAAGGTGTACGTGTGTTGCAGTAGGCGCATACACCTCCCTTAGAACGGAAAGAGGTACAGGGTATAAACTTATAAAGGTTGTAGTTGGAGATTTGAAAAGGTTTGGGTGAAGCTGCTTTGGTCAGTTGAAGTTCAGATAGTAGGAAGTGGTCAAGAGGTCAATAGATGGTGCTCCACAGGAGGAAAATTGGATTTCAGGCCACGAATTTTGGAAAAATGCAGTGTGAAAAAAGCTGATCCTCCAGCAACCGCGGTGCCGTCGTTTGAGGCCCCAGTAGTTTGATGATGATCAGGTCGGCCCTGGGGTCCACAACCTTCCCGACCAGTGGGACCCATCCAAGAAGGCCCCACTTCAATATTTTTGTCAACTGACACCATAGGAGAATAAAGAATAGAAGGAATAGAACAGATCAAGAGTGAGTACAGTTATATTTGTTGTGTTGTCAATAGTAAGAGAAACAATTGAGACCCTGCAATTGTGTGTGTAAATGAGGCAGAAAGACAGATTAGCAACCTGGGACTTGGTCACAATTTTTGTGATGCCATATGGCAGCAGGGTCTACCATTAGACAACACATTATGCTTCCAATATCTTCCCAGGCGGTAGTACCTCCCTGTTTGGTAGCTGCCTGCTTCCTACTTTAAGGTTGAAGAAGCCACAAGTTCATAAAATTGTCAAGACAAACTTTTTGTGAGTGAGAGCTGTGAACTCTTGGAGCAATCTTCCAAAAAGCGCTATGAAGGCACTGAGTGTGAGCTCATTTAAGACCGGACTTGACCACCACTGGAACAATGTACAGATACATTCTGGAACCAGTACATGCCCAGTACTTGCCAACAGTGTATACCGGTGACGTAACCAACCGCCCAAGTTGCTAACAGGCTGATCAGTGACGAAGAGAATAAAGTAAAGTACGTAAAGTAACACTGACTCCTGTTGTCTCGGTGGGGTTGTCAGAATCCTTCGTCTGTTGCGTCATATTGTCTGACACAAAATTTTAAAGATCCTTTTTGGAGCGCGTGTACATATCAATACTGTTGATATGAAATTTTATGCAAATCTAATATGAAAAGAACCACCAAATCAACATCAGAACATGAACTATCAGTTTGAGGGACCTTGGCGACTTGCAGCCATGTAGTGTAGTCTTTGTGGTGGTTCATTTGGATGAAGAGAAGGTATGTGTGGCCGGTGGTGTCTGGCACGAAGGTTTCCTCACAAGGGTTCTGTGAGTGGTCCAGCATTGTCCCCCGACGTAGCAGCTCTGTTATCAACTCTTCATATGGCTCCTTTTTCAAACTGAAATATATTATATGAATATAGAATCTTGTAAAAACTTACATTGAAATTAATAATGACAATACAATGTATTAATATCAACATGTATCATATGCAAAGGTCCTTCAGTATATATCAAAGAAAAACAACATGTGTACATAACTAATTATGCAAAGTAATAATATGGCAATAAACTACACAAAATTGTGAACTTCCTTTGTGACGTATTATCTTATGATATTTCAACAGTTCCCAACTCAGATTTATATTTATCAAAAGATCAAAAACAAAAAACAGAGCAAGTTATGCCAGTAACCAGTGAGAATCAGATGGCCACTACTATCTCAGCAGTCACAGCTCACCGGAGCAGCTGATGCACTGTTATAGGCAAGGTCACGCATTAGAGCACTGTATGTGTGGTGAACTGTTTCAGTTCAGAATGTAGTGAGTCGAGTGGCTATGTTGTTTTTTGCAAAAAAGACCCAAGGGGTTATAAATTTTATGGTGAAGCTGTTCTGAGTGTACAACCCAAGCTTGACAATAATGGAAGTTACCGTACACAGTGTTCACAGAGAAAGATTTTGAGGAAGGAAAAGTTGTATAATATGGACACGAAGTAGTATCTTAAGCTGTGTATTCTTATATTACTCTATTAATTATGTATAGTAAAGTATTACAGAACATGTATTAATCCTATGTAATATTTCCATTTATTATGCACCATGTTATGTATGTGAATTATCATATTTACATAATAAGTATTCAGCTTGTGAATGCTGGCATCTGTACATGCCAGCGCGGAGTGATACAGAGAGTTGAGATCGCTAGTCCTTATGGTGTGGAAGGCCACTGTCTATTTGTTTCCTCTGTATATCTCCCATACGAGAATAAGAACCTAATTTCAAGATAACAAGTGTTTGCGTATACCCTCCATAGTATAGAACATTTTGGGGGCATCAAAGACAAACATAGATGGCGCAGTGAGATTTCTCAGTGAGATTCAGAGTGAATTCAGCCTTCCCGCCGGACTGTGTTAATGGCGTCTCGTCTTCAGCTTCGCCAAGGATTTACAGCCAGACTACAAGCCTCAGGACTTACAATGTTGTGAAGTGCTATGCTGTGTACAGTGCTGTGCTGTGAAGTGAAGTGTTCTGTGAAGTGCTGTGTTGTGTATTTTAATCAGAATTGTCTGTGCAAACTGCAGTCAGATGACTGAGGGAGCTGCCCAGCAGTACAACCCCTCCCGCCTACGGTCATTGGGTAACTGAGCAGCGCGCATTAAGACAACTTCGGTTCAGTTGCGACTTGCGCCCAGCTGCCTCTACGTCTGGCAGCGCGCCAAGCCTCCCGGCAACGAGCCATACACACACACGTGCACTCACAGGCCCACTTTATATTAAATTCTTGTGTATTACTTTAGACTTCTGTAATTCTGTGCATAGATTACGAGGGGATGACCCGGTCTCTTGCACAGATAAAGTGCAGAAGCTGTCAGCATGTCTCACAGGAATCAAAATGATACCCTGGACGATGGGGTTATGAGTTTAAGCTTGGGAGACCTCTCTCCACTCACACTCAGGCCCCACGCTCCCCACAGTGACAACACCCAATCACCCACAGAATCTCCTCGTTCGTCGCGAGCAAGCTCTCCTGCGGTGCCTGCGTCCAAAGATCTCCTTCAACTGATTAAGTGGATGGAAACTTCTCGACGCCAGGACTATGTTGCAAGGAGAGAAGAGGAAGAAATTCGGTACAGAGAGTCTGAAAGACGACGCCACGAAGATGAACAAAGACGCAGAGAACTAGAAGATATACGTAGAAGTGAGGATGACCTGAGAAGAGAGGATCAAGCCAGATTTGAAGCCTTGATTTCCCTGTTAGCCTCCCCACAACGATCTACTCTACAAGATTCTTCTACTACTACTAATGCTGATACGACTAGAGGTACTGGTACCTCATTTCCCAGAGTCGGTTCAACAATTCCTCAAAAGGCTGCAGCACAAACGCCTCCCTCTCTGAAGTCTGACGGTTCTTATCAGATATTTCGGGAATGGCGTCAACGTTGGCAAGACTATGCAACAATGGTTGACCTGTCAAGTTTACCACAGCCTAAACAGATGATATAGCTTCGTATGTGCTTGTCCTTAGAGACACAAAGTACTCTCGAGCACACACTTCAAGTGCCTCCTATGACAACCCTGACTGTAGAGGCCGTGCTTGACAAGTTACAGGAACATGTTAAGGGACAGCGCAACGAAGCACTCAGAAGAAGAGAACTCCTCCAATGTAAGCAGCTTGATGGAGAATATCTTTTGATGCATTTTTTGTAAGACAGAAAAGATGTTCAGATGAAGTTGATGTTTGTCCTGGAAATTCTCAAGTTTGTGAAGAGACACAACTCAAGACAATCATTTTAATGGGTATTCGAGATGAAGAGCTAGTTCAGCGTCTCATTTCACTTGACCCCACTTCCTCCCTTCAAGATGTAGTTAAAAAATGTCGAGCGTACGAGGCCGCCAGGTGTGCGACTTCAGCTTTACGTTCACAACCTGACCAGGTGAGGGCGGTGTCTTCCTACAGAAAGGGTAAGAAGCAGCAAGGTAACCCCACCCCTCAACCTCCAGCTACACCTTCAGCAGCAGCTTTGTGTAACAGCTGCACGAGACAGCATGATGCCTCCCAGTGCCCAGCTGCTCAAAACGTGTGCAGAAGTTGCGACCGCCAGGGTCACTGGGCTTACACAGTCAAGTGCCCTGCTAGCAAAGTTCAGTGCAGACTTTGTGGTCGTGTGGGCTATTATGACAAATGTTGTCGTAAGAAGACACAGAAAGGACACCACCAAGGATCCAGGAAGTCATCCTCAGGTAGTGCTGGCACGCCCCCTCCTTCTGGCAAGCATCAAGACGCTGTGTCCAGTCGTTCCTGCCGTCGTGTACATTGTTCCACAGACATGACGCCCCAGCACATCAGTGTCGTCATTTCTCACGGTAACTTGTCATCCAGCCTTCAGATGTTACCCGACACCGGTGCTGACGTCTCAGTAATTGGTCCACAACACTTAGCAAGTTTGGGAATACCCCGGAACAACCTACAGCCCCCTCCTCAGACAACGAAACTGATAGCTGATGGTTCCAAGATGGCTCCAGCTTTGGGATCTTTCTGGGCTACTCTTTCCTTTGGTAAGCAGTCTTGCTCAGCCCGGATTAATGTTCATGATGGGATCCCGACTCCGCTTTTATCATATGGCCATTGTCAAGAGTTGGCCATTATTTCCAAGAAATTCCCCAAACCTATTTTAAAGGTCACCCATGTCAACAGGTTGAAGGAACTCCCTATCTCTACTAACACGTCCCCTTCCGATGCAAGAGCTTACCTTCTCAAGGAGTTTGCTGACATGTTGGTTACGAAGAAATCTTTAGGATCCACACCACTCAAGCCGATGGTGGGTCCACCTATGAAGATTCATCTTAAGGATGGTGCCACACCTTTTGCCATCCACACCCCTCCTTTGATTCCTCACGCCTACAAGGAGCTAGTTAGACAAGAGCTTGACTCCATGGTTGCTCAGGGAATCATCAAGCCGGCCGGAGACGAACCTTCACCTTGGTGCCACCCTCTCGTCCCCGTCGCCAAACCTCGTGGTGGAGTACGAATCACCACCGATCTATCAAAACTTAACCAGCAAGTTTCTCGTCCAGCCCACCCTTCACCCACACCCTTCACAGCTGTTCGAAATGTGGACCCGAAGGCGAAGTTTTTTTACAACGATGGACGCCTTATGTGGTTATTGGCAGATCGAGTTGGCCGAAGAAGACCAGCATTTGACTACATTCATCACACCATATGGAAGATATCAGTATTGCAGAGGCCCCATGGGATTTGCCGCTACGGGCGATGCATTCTGTCAACGTGGTGACGCGGCCCTTCATGGAGTCACGAATTGTGTCAAGGTGGTTAATGATATTTTACTCCATGACGAAGACTACTGTGCCCACCTCTCCCGAATATATGAAGTTCTCACCAGATGTCGAAAGTACGGGATTACCCTCAACGCTGACAGGTTTGTAGTCGCCGCACCATCAGTGAACTTCTGTGGGTACACTCTCTCAGCATCAGGTATCGCAGCTGACCCGGAGAAATTAAGTGGAATCAGGGATTTTCCAACCCCTGCCAACCTGACAGACCTCCGTTCTTTTTTGGGTCTGGTCAATCAGCTGGCTGAATTCTCACCTGACATCTCCGCCGCAGCACAGCCATTACACCCCCTGCTGAGCCCCAGGAGGATATTCCTGTGGACCCCAGATCATCAAGAGGCCTTCCAGCGAGTCAAGCAGGCCCTCTTAAGTCCACCTGTCCTCGCCTGTTACGACCCAGCCCTACCCACCGTCCTCCAGACTGACGCCTCCAGACTCTACGGCGTTGGTTACGCCCTTCTGCAGAACCATGGCGGTGGACAACTCCGCTTAATTCAGTGTGGATCCCGGTTCCTGACGGACGCCGAGACCCGATATGCCATGATTGAGCTGGAGATGTTGGCTGTTGTCTGGGCGATGGCGAAGTGCCGCTTCTACCTGATAGGACTTCAGCACTTCACCCTCTTCACGGATCATCGCCCTCTTGTACCTATTATCAATCACTACTCTTTGGATGCAGTAGAGAACCCTCGCCTTCAACGTTTGAAAGAGAAGCTCTCGCCTTATCTCTTCACGGCTGTGTGGCGTGCGGGTAAGATGCTGTGCATTCCGGATGCTCTGTCCCGCGCCCCTGACAGTCGCCCCACCCCAGAGAACGAGATGTTGTGTTCTACAGCTGCTGCATCCCTCAAGTCAGTAGTCTCATTGAAGGCCGTCTTCACATCAGAAGAGTCTACAGCACCGGATGCAGACAAGACCCTTGAAGATCTCCGCACCGCAGCCCGGGCCGACCCTTCCTATATCCGGCTCGTCGACTGTGTGTCCCAGGGATTTCCATCTAACCGATACGACCTTCATGAATCGCTACTCCCGTACTGGAAGATACGCGAGGACCTCTATTGTGACGGAGACCTCGTCTTGTATGGTCCACGAGTAGTCATTCCTGCTGCCCTACGCCGCCGTACCTTGACCCGCCTTCACGACAGCCATCGAGGAGTGGAGGCCACCAAGCGACGGGCGAAGCAGACTGTATTTTGGCCCGGAATCGACGCGGACATTGCAAGTACCGTCCGTGCCTGTGAGCCGTGCCAGATTTTGCAACCCAGCCAGCAACAGGAACCTTTAATGTGCGACGATAACCCTTCAAGACCCTTCGAGTCTGTGTCGGCCGACTTCTTTGCAGTGGCAGGGAAGTCCTTCCTCGTCATTGCCGACCGATTGTCTGGATGGCCTGTTGTCGTCCCCTGTGGTAGTGATACAACGGCTACTGCTACCATCCGGAATTTCAGACATTACTTCAGTGAAGTTGGTGTTCCCCTCCGTCGCAGGACTGATGGAGGACCCCAGTTCACCAGCCACGAGTTCCGGGACTTCATGGACCGTTGGGGAGTCCGTCATGTCGTGACCTCGCTCCACTACCCCCAGGCGAATGGACACGCTGAAGCCGCAGTCAAGACTGTTAAACACCTGATCCTTAAGGTGTCACCCTCAGGAAATATCGACTGCGAGGATTTCGATCGAGGTTTGCTAGAGTTACGCAACACCCCGAACTTCACCGGACGCTCCCCAGCCCAGGTTCTATATGGACATCATCTCAGGTCTTGTGTTGCTGCCCACCCGAAGTCTTTTTCTCAAGAATGGCAAGCCAAGACTGAAGAATGTGACTGCCGTGCAGCAGAACGAGCCGCAGATGTCGCTGCTCGGTACGACTGTCATGCCCGCCCCCTTCCCAGGTTGAGTATCGGCCAGCAGGTCAGGATTCAAGATCCGATATCTCACCGCTGGGACAAGGTTGGGGTTGTCATGGGTATTGGCCGGTCCAGGGACTACCAAGTGCGTCTTCCTAGTGGTAGAGTATGGTGGAGGAACCGTCGTTTCCTCCGACCTGTGGAGCTGCCTAGTGTTGACCCTTCCCCAGTAGAGTCCCCTAATGCTGATGTCTTTATAGTAAATCCATCCCCACCTTGTGTTTCTGCCCCGGTACTCCGCAGGTCCGAGCGACTCAGAAACAAAAGGTCCGCTCAAGATGAAACTATGAGCGTATAGGGGGGAGGGAGGTGTATAATATGGACACGAAGTAGTACCTTAAGCTGTGTATTCTTATATTACTCTATTAATTATGTATAGTAAAGTATTACAGAACATGTATTAATCCAATGTAATATTTCCATTTATTATGCACCATGTTATGTATGTACATGCCAGCGCAGAGTGATACAGAGAGTGGAGATCGCTAGTCCTTCTGGTGTGGAAGCCCACTGTCTATTTGTTTCCTCTGTATTTATCTCCCGTACGAGAATAAGAACCTATTTTCAAGATAACAAGCGTTTGCGTATACCCTCCGTAGTGTAGAACATTTTGGGGGCATCAAAGACAAACATAGAAAAGTATTTATCAATAGTTCTTATTTCATGTTATAATGCCATTATAGTGCCATTTAGGAGGGAGGTAACTGGAGAATACTGGTACTGTATTTGTGCTGCCCAGTCTCTAACACTCACTTTTGTGACAACCAGAGTGACAATTGCTGTTACTTGCACTGGAAAAATATTCACAGCTTAGAACCCCCCCCCCCTCAGCTTAACTGTTTCTTTACAAACCTGTCTAAGTCTCTCAGCTCAACGTAAGGAAGAGTGTTGAAGGAATGCTTTTTAAAATATGTGTCTTGGAAGTAGGAGTTCATGTTGAGTCCTGACGAGCCAAAGTGGTAGGTGCGAGACACATCAGGCACAATACACTCTCTGCCTCGCCGTACCTCACCTAAACGCATCCACATGTCCCAGTCCCACATCTGAAGTAAAATGATAATAGGAGATAATGTATAACATTTCTTTCATAACCTTACCAGTTAGTTTATATTTACTGATGAAGTATGAAGTAAAAAAAGCACCGTAAATAACTCCTCACACCCGTATGTCAGAACCTTTCTCATAACAAAAAGTACAAAAGTATTTTAACCCAAGTTGTTGTCAGGGCATGTTGATCAGTAACTCTCATATGGTGATACGAAAAGTAACCACACACCTACTAAGACATGAGTCACACAACTTTATTCCTCTTTTATCAATTTGCGAGTCTTACAGGTGATGCAACTGTACATCTCTCCTGTGGTGTAAACACTGCATGAAGTAATCTTGGAGCTAAATTGTTACACGAAATCTCCAAGTCTATATAATGACTATCATTATGACATTGACTTATTCAAACAGTGAAGCAAATCCCTTGGATCTAAACGGGTGGTTTACGTTCTTCTCGGAGCTATGCATGTATTATGTGTGGATACATAATACTGTATGTGCATACTACATGTATTATGTGTGGATACATAATACTGTACGTGCATATTACATGTATTATGTGTGGATACATAATACTTTTTTTTTTTTTATTATTATTTATTGGGCACTCCCCTACATCCTTGTGTAAGGCGAAGCGCAGAAGCGTTTACAGCGCCCAACAGGGAAGCATGCTAAGTTCATGCTTGCCTTTATGTCTCATGAGTTAAGGGCGTAGAAGCCTGAAGCGTCAAGGGCATAGAAGCCTGAAGAGTCAATGGTTTATGTCATCAAGTTATTGGAAGCTCCAGCAACTTGTCCCTGAATACGAATTCGCAACTTTCGACTTACACCAGGTACCTACTTTACTGCTAGGTGAACAGGGACTAATGGGGGCAAGGAAGTGTGTCCAAACAACTTCCACCGGCCCGGGAATCGAACCCGTGACATCTCGCTTGCGAAGGCAAGAGCGTTACCACTCTACCACCAGCACCCCCGATACATAATACTGTACGTGCATACTACATGTATTATGTGTGGATACATAATACTGTACATGTATTAAGTGTGGATAAAATTTTTCACCTTATTTCTAAAAGTTATGTTTTGTTTTCCTAGTGTGACTATACAGTACAGAATCCTTTACACAGTAGACAGAGAGTGAAAGGTAACACAAAAACCACAGGAGTAGACAAGTAGAAATAAACCAACCAAAACATAATTATTTTCACACGTTAAACTTACCTTTTCTGGTGTTGGCCATTTAGGTTCGAGCTCATCCTTATAGAGGGAGCGTTTAAGAATCCAGCCCAGGCCTGGCATGGTCTCCACACGGTAGAGGAGAGTTGGGTCTGTGCTGGTGTGTTCATAACCCTGGTCGTTCCACGCACTTACACAGTACACAGTGGGGTCTTCCTCTAGCAGTCGTAAGGTCTGGCTGAAGTAGCTGTAAGAGTTATGGTAAATATCTAAGAGTAATTATCAACTCCACAAAATACAACAGAGTTCAACTTGATATAAATGACTAAACTTAGAAGTGAAAAAAAAGTTTTCTTACAGCATCGGTAAGTTACAAGTTACTGTACCCAAACATCTACAAACCAAAAAACAAACAAATAAAAAAAAATGATAAAAAATACAGGAGTTATTGTTTCTACATTATTACAAAGGGCAGAGAGGAGGGAGTAACATGTAGCTACAGACAAGACCTCACACAATACTACAGCAAACACATTTCCATCACACTGACTCAATGTTATGAAAAGCTAAATGAAGAAACAACAAAGGGGTACAATAATCAATAGAATGCTTAACTCATTAAAGAAATATTGTATTATATCTCATTAACCCTTTAGGTGTGAGTCCCACATTTAATAACTTTATCCTGGTTACCGCCAGATGACTTTATACACCTTAGGGAAATCATCAGCAGTCAAAGGGTTTAAAAAAATCTATGGGTATATGTTTGTATTGTTACGACCCTCCTTTCACTGCTTAACCAGCTTGCACCACTGGTTACCAACGGCCAGGGTCGTATATACAGAAGCAGTAGATATCTCACAGTGTCGTCGAATTGCCACTGGCTGTCCCGCCAGTCTCCGGTAATTCTTCGACGATCGGTATCATTGTACAGACAAACAACAGGCCGGTAGATTTCCACCAGGTCACAGAAACACACTTGTGCACTGTTGTCTGCTTTAATAGTCACTAAAAAGTCACACAACTGTTCACAGGGTCCGTTTTCACAACTGGGCTTCTCACTTCGAATATGTATACAGTCAGCACACTACCAGTGTACAAATCTTTAGTGTTTTCACTTTAAATTGTTTACTACAATTCCACAATACTTGCACAGCAATTATCTTCAGTTGTCACTACTAGGCTTGTACAGTCACCTAAAAAAGTCCTGTCGCCTCTCATCCTGATCCATGAACCCGAGATTCAGACTCTTGAATCCGAAGCATTTATGGACAGAATAATGTAACAGTGTCTACTGCTTCGGGTTCGCGAGTCTGAATCTCGGGGTTCGTAGTTCAGGATGAGAGGCGACAGGACTTTTTTGGGTGACTGTACTTGACACTCTGAGCAGAAATGATAGATTGACTCATGGCCGCTCGCTGCCGCTTATACATGTTTCGTCAGACCCCTAGAGCAGGGGTTCTCAACCAGGGGGGAATTCAGGTTTTCAGGGGGGGGGGGAAACTGATTCGGGAGCAAGAGATATGTTCGATGAGAAATCAATCACAGAATTTTGGCCCTTGATGTGCGATTCCTACCCAAAAGTGGCAGAAAGAGCTATCCGTGCATTGCTTCCGTTTGTGTCGACATATCTTTGTGAGTCAGGCTTTTCAACTCTGTTGCAAATTAAAACGAAGCAACGTAGTAGATTAGAGGTAGAAAATGACCTGCGTTGTGCCCTTTCAAGCACTCCTCCGCGTATCCCAGAATTGGCGAAGAAAAAACAATCACAGGTTTCTCATTGACTGTAATCTTCATTTGAATAAAATTAATTACAAATTTACAATATCCTGGTATTCTATTGAACTTTTTGTTTATTGCATTATGCTTCAGTTTGTTCTGTTAAGTAATTCATTATAAATAAAAAAAACTATTTTATTTTTATTCAAGTTTTATAAATCCATCAACATTTTCAATTGGCATTTAATTTGTAAAACTCCACTATAAAAATAATCCATGTAAAATTGTAAATGTATATGTACTAATATGGAAAAAATAAAGGATTTTCAGTATTATATGCATATTATTTGGAATGCACTTTTTGAGGCAGACAATCTTGGAAAGGAGGGGGGAATGACATTCTGACATATGGTGAAAGGGGTGCATGGGGCAAACAAGGTTGAGAACCACTGCTCTAGAGCATTCTAGCGACGTCCAGATGCTGGGGGTTTGCTCGAGACACGCCTGGAGAATTCTAGAATGATCTAGGCTTACAATAAGAAATAAATCATAACAAAAATGATGCAATACATTCCAGAATATTTTTACATAAGTAATACATCAATATATACAAGAAAATCTCCCTAAACTTGCCAAAATAACTATTACTTGGGACCGAACATAATCAAAGCTCCTAGTTTACAAACAATATGCCAAATTATGCCTCGACATAACAGTATAATGAACAGCAGATACTTCAAGTTAATAGTTACTTCTACAGCCCCATTTTATTACACCACTGCTTCTATTTCCGTGTTAATTAGTTCCTGACGCGAAACCTTGAACATAAATGAGGATAAGAATCACAATAAAAATATGTGCTCAGAAAGTGTGTCTTGAAGGTGGCAGCTATCATGAAAATAACTAAAATACAGGTTTTTCTTTTCACTCTTGCAAACTCTTTAATACAGTATAAGGTAGCCAGCAGCTACCCTGTTCGCCACGAGGGCTAGCCAGCGGCGGTAGCTGAAAGCGAAAGGAAGCAAGTAGTGTTTGCACCTTAACACTAACCTAAAGCTGCCACACTAGACGCAGTTCACCACCCTTTGTGCGAACACACACACATACATATACATTTTCTGGCTGCAGTAACACGTGTGCTCTACCATGGCGTTCCTCTAGCACAACAAAGCCTTGTGATTTCCATACAATTTATCACTGTCACCTCACATTTCCCAGATACAGCCAACAGTGGTGACCCCTTCCCCAAGACCCACCCAGTGACTCAGTTTCAGCTCATTTATGCACACTGAGGCTTCCTAGGTGTCTAACTCTCTCATCTCTAGTCCTTCACTCACTCCAACCTTCCACCTAACATGTAAGCTGTGTTATTGTACGAGAATATACACACAAATACTGCAAGATAGTTTTAAATGTTCATCTGTTTTCATCGCCGCCATGTTAATTATCACTTAACATATTATCTATCCGTCTTGTGTATGTTCTGGTTCCCTCCATCCAACCACAGCCACCTAGTTCACCCATACACCCCCACCTCTACCCCCTACACCTCACCCATACACCCCCACCTCTACCCCCTACACCTCACCCATACACCCCCACCTCTACCCCCTACACCTCACCCATACACCCCCACCTCTACCCCCTACACCTCACCCATACACCCCCACCTCTACCCCTACACCTCACCCATACACACCCCACCTCTACCCCTACACCTCACCCATACACCCCACCCTACCCCCTACACCTCACCCATACACCCCCACCTCACACCTCACCCATACACCCCCACCTCTACCCCACACCTCACCCATACACCCCCACCTCTACCCCTACACCCACCCATACACCCCCACCTCTACCCCCACCTCCCCACACACCCCCCACCTCTACCCCCTACACCTCACCCACACCCCACCTCTACCCCCTACACCTCACCCATACACCCCCACCTCTACCCCTACACCTCACCCATACACCCCCCACCCTACCCCCACACCTCACCCATACACCCCCCACCTCTACCCCCACACCTCACCCATACACCCCCCACCCACCCCTACACCTCACCCATACACCCCACCCCTCACCCACCCCACCCCACCTACACCACCCATACATCCCCACCTCTACCCCCACACCTCACCCATACACCCCCACCTCTACCCCACACCTCACCCATACATCCCCACCTCTACCCCCTACACTTCACCCACATCCCCACCTCTACCCCCACACTTCACCCATACACCCCACCTCTACCCCACACTTCACCCATACATCCCCACCTCTACCCCTACACCTCACCCATACACCCCCACCTCTACCCCTACACCTCACCCATACATCCCCACCTCTACCCCTACCACCCACACCCCCACCTCACCCATACCCATACACCCCACCTCTACCCCTACACTTCACCCATACACCCCCCACCTCTACCCCCCACACCTCACCCATACATCCCCACCTCTACCCCCCACACCTCACCCATACACCCCACCTCTACCCCTACACCCACCCATGGTCCCCACCCTGCCATACACCCCCACCTCTACCCCCTACACCTCACCCATACATCCCCACTCAGGGTGTCTACTGGCCGGACAAAACAAAATTCCCCGGCTTTTCCAGGTTTTTTAGCCTCAAATAAAATTTCCTGCCTTTTGATGGATTTCCAGACCAGTAGACACCCTGCAACGCTTATCCCACATCCTCACACTCACTCCCATACCTCACTCACATATTTCCACACCTCACTATCACATCCTTACCCACACCTCATCACCCCACACGTCAAAGATAGTACTCTATTAAAAAAAAAGACACATTCCTGGTAGAATTTGTTTAAGATATTCCCCCACGACCAAGTACAACTAGTACAACTTACCTAAAGAAGTCAGGAGAAACATCTAAGTCTTCCTCTAGCACAATAGCATAGTGAGCAGCTGGGAAGATGTTGAAGGTGGCTGTCAGTGACGCCTTGTAGTGCTGGGCGATACGAGCGTTCCTCACCTGAAGGATTGGAGAACGTCACTCATGTAACCTGGTTAACAGTTTCGAATTAATACCTGTAAATGTATAATTACTGAACCAGGACACTGTATCTATAAGTGACATTTACATCATCAACGGATAAAGGTAAGGACAATGTCTTTATAGTACTGTTACGAGTGTCCGCCAGAAGTTTCTGTTCTGGCTATGAAATACGTTGGTTCGGATGGTGTGTGGTTGGCTCGAGCAGTTTCGCTCATTACTCGTCCACACTGACTGAGCCAACTGTTACGTATTAAATTTATTTTATTACTTTGTGTATTTATTGTATTATGTTTGTATATAGGTTAGATAGTGGAACAAATGTCAGTAGGGTAATTTAGATAAAGCTTACGTTTTGGGCAATCCGGATATGATAAGTCAGTATTTGGCGGTAGAGAGGTGACGTTGGTGACCTACTGGTACACTCTAGTCCAGTGGTTCTTAAGCTTTTTACTACTATGCCCCCTCTAGGAATTGGTCCTTCCCTCCACGCCCCCTCTAGGAATTGGTCCTTCCCTCCACGCCCCCCTTGCATCTATGAATAAAATTCCCTCCCAGATTTTAAAGAAAAATGAAAAATATTGTGTTTTTAGTCTTTTCATTGAGTATAAATTAGTGAGATACTTGACACTGCTTCTTAGCTACTAGATCTTGAATGCGTGGTTGAATGCCAGAGAGAGCACAACGTAAATCCCCTTCAACATTCAGCCTGTTTCTGTACTTGGTCTTGACAGCAACGAGAGTGGAAAATGCAGCTTCACAAAGATACGTGGATCCGAACATAGTTAGAATCCGAAGAGCCTGATGTGAGATCAGAGGGTAAACAGGAAGGTACTTGACCCAGAACGTCTCAAGATCCAGTTCTTTGAAGTCTTCCTTAGCTGTGGAGTTGAACTTCAACTCAAGAAACTCCTCTTGCACTTCATCCGAAACATCAGCTACTTCACATTGAAATGGGTTCCTGATGAATTTCCAGGCTTCACGCTTCTCATCTATCTCTGGGAAGTATCTGATGAATTCTGTTTTCAAGTCAGTTAGATGAGTGATTATTTGTTTCTTTAACTCAGAATCAAGGTTACCGTGAATGAGAGCAGAATCCAAGTTACTAAAACTGGCTGTATTTCCCTGCTGAATTCGACACTTCCAGAGGTCGAGTTTGGCCATGAAGGTTCGAATGGTGTCGTGGTGCATGATGATGTTGATGTTTTTCCCTTGTAGTTTAAGGTTGAGAGCATTCAACGCTTCGAAGATGTCCACCAGGTAAGCTAGAGATAGCTGAAAGCCTTCAGACTGGAACTTGTCATGGAGATCTGCCTTCTGCTTCGAATCAAGAAATATTGCTACTTCTTCTCGTAGTTCATAAAGCCGTCCAAGCATGTTCCCCTTTGATAGCCATCGTACGTTCGTGTGAAAAAGCAAGGTTTCATGTTCAGATTCCATATCCTTACACAGCAGTTTGAAGAGACGACTGTTTAAGGCTCCAGCTTTGATAAAGTTGACTACCTTGATAGCCACGTTCAGGACATCCCTCATTTCAGCAGGTAAAGTTCTGGATACTAAGGATTCATGATGAAGTATGCGGTGTGTACCTAAACACCCCTACCAGCGAGTCCCACGAAAGTTGGTTTTCCTGAAAGAAGTTTGATACATCATGAAAAATAGCTGCTGCTGTTGTACAACTTTCCATGGGGTGACAGAACAGCATTTCCTCTTTTACACTGTTGCCTGACACGAAACGAGCATACATCAGTAGCTGAGAACACTGAGCGATGTCAGTCGTTTCGTCGCACTGGATGGCAAAAACAGGAGAATCTCTTACTTGGTCGAGAATTTGATCTTTGGTGTCTTGAGACAATTCATCGATCCTTCCCTTGACTGTATCGTTTGATAGTGAAATTTGGGAAAGCTTGTTTGCACTATCTTTCCCCAGAACGAGTTCTGCTGCACGGAGTATGCTTGGTCTTATGAGAAACTCTCCGATGTTATGGCTCTTCTTGCTCTTTGCAATCAACATGGCGATCTCATAGGAAGCCTCAACAACCTTTGAAGTTTGTTGCCGAAATGCCCCACTGCCGTCCAACTTAACTTGCTTCAAGGAGTGTCTTTTTGTTTCAAAGAATGCCTTGGGCTTGTCAGCTAGAGCAGGATGTGTTGTCCTCAAGTGGCGTTCCAAGCGTGAGGGCCGCATTCCATCATTGCTCAGAGTCTTGTAACATATCACACACTGAGGGACCTCTGTGTCACCCTTTTGGAGAGACACGAATCCAAATCGAATATATTCGTCAAGATACTTCCGCTTCTTGGCACTCATAGCGAATTATTTGATGTGCAGTGGACAACACAAATGTGTGAACAAAACATAAGGCACGTGTAAGGTAAGATAAACATCACCACGTGCTCATGAACACCACAACATCATGATAATCACAACCACATGATCAATAACACACATATGATCGTAAAGTTCGTAAACACTACAAGTGACTACAATCATACATGATCATAAACACCACCATATCATTAACAAACATCACATGATCATAAACACCACATGATTATTAACAAACATCAATGATCACAACATGATCATAAGCACCACTACATGATCATAAACACCACATGATTATTAACAAACATCAATGATCACAACATGATCATAAGCACCACTACATGATCATAAACACCACCACATAATTATTAAGTAAATATTAACAAACACCACAACATTATAGTAAACACATCATGATTATAAACACATGATTATTAAGAAACAAATCAATATCATCATAAATACAACTTTACCATAACCACCTGTTACCACCACATGATTTTAAGCACCACCAACTTCTGATAAAATGCAAACGGAATTCAAAACTTGAGAATAACCAACAGAGCAACACATGCGTGTTCACAATTCACCAATAAACTTATGGCTGCTTACTATTTTTAGGTAAATATAGCAACTGGGATAAAACATACCTCAACAGCCTTAACTGAATAAATGTGAGAGAAGAGGAATTATTGCCACGGACGTGTGCAGAAGACTGGGAGAGAACGGGGCTCACCAGTCACCAACGAGCAGTATACAGGTCCAGGACGAGTTAACTCCCCCCCCCCATGGGTTTCGAGGGATAGGGAGGGGGGTCAATAAGCACAGAAAATGGTAAGCCCTAAGTAAAAAAAGTAGCCTATAGAAAACTAAAGTTATAAGGCGATACTTTTGCATTTTTTCATAAACTTCTCAATATTAGCCCACGCTCCTGTTAAGAGAATAAAACTATAATTATAATTAGAGAAATTCCTACGTTTTCCCTATGGCTTGCGCCCCCCAGGTTAAGAACCGCTGCTCTAGAGTGAAGAAGTGTGCTGCTGCGTGGTATAATATATATATATATATATATATATATATATATATATATATATATATATATATATATATATATATATATATATATATATATATATATATATATATATATATATATACATACATACATACATACATACATACATACATACATACATACATACATACACACAGTAGTCGGCAGCTTCCAAACAGGGAGGTACTATCGCCTGGGAAGATATTGGAATCATAATGTGTTGTCTAACGGTAGACCCTGCTGCTATATGGCATCACGAAAATTGTGACCAAGTCCCAGGTTGCTGATCTATCTTTCTGCCTCATTTACACACAATTGCAGGGTCTCAACTGTCTCTCTTATTACTGACAACACCAAAAATAAAACCGTACTCATTCTTGATCCGTTTTATTCATTCTATTTTATTCTCCTATGTCAGTTGAAATTAATACTGAAGCGGGGCCTTCTCGGATGGGTCCCACTGGTCGGGAAGGTTGTGGACCCCAGGGCCGACCTGATCATCATCAAGCTACTGGGGCCTCAACTGACGCCACCGTGGTTGCTGGAGGATCAGCTTTTTTCACACTTCATTTTTCCAACATTCGCGGACTGAGATCCAATTTTTCTTCTGTGGAGCACCATCTATCAACCTCTTCCTCCGACCTCTTACTACTCTCCGAACTTCAACTGACCAAAGCAGCTTCACCCAAACCTTTTCAAGTCTCTAACTACAACCTTTATACCTACTTCTGTTCTAAGGGAGGTGTATGCGCCTACTGCAATACACGTACACCTATAGCCCGACTCACGGATCTTGAATCTCCTCTTTATGATGTCATCTGGCTCAAAATATCTCTACCTACTGTGACTATATTTCTTTGTTTCCTATACTGTTCTCCCAACTCTACCAACTATTTCGAACTCTTTGACTATTTCACTTCTTGCCATGAGTCGTTGCTATCCACACACCCCAACACCGAGATTCTCTACCTAGGGGATTTCAATGTACATCACAGAGAGTGGCTTGGCTCTGCAAGGGATGACCCAGGTGGAGCTGAGGCACTCTCTTTTTCCTTACTTAATGATTTGGAACAAATAATCAAACACCCTACACTCTTTCCTGATCGACACGATCAACTTGCTAACATTCTTGATCTTTGTTTTACCTCTAATCCCTCACACTATTCATACTCAATTTTTGCCCCCCTTAGGGTCTTCTGATCACAACCTTATTTCTATTAAATCAAACTGGGCACGACCACCTCCCCCACCCCCCTCTAAACGTCAACTTTGGCACTGTCGGAGGGCAAGCTGGCAATCCTTGCGAGAATTCTTCACCGACTTTCCTTGGGATGAATGTTGCTTTTCCACTCGGGATGCCTCAGTATGTGCTGACAGCATTGCTGGGGTTATACAGGGTGGTATGAGTGCATTTATCCCATCTTCTACCAAAACTTTCACATTACAATCATGATTTGATCGCTCCTGCTCTCTTGCTTGCAGGGTGAGAGATAGGGCATATCGAACTATGAAACTATCTCCTCCTATTACCCACACCTCTTTCATTACTTCTAGGAATCGTTGTAAGGCTATTCTTCCTCTAGTAAATCCTTCTGGTCCTTAACTAAAAACATCTGTAACAACTTCTGCACGCCTTCTTTTCCTCCCCTCTTCCGTCCCAATAACTCTATAGCCAACTCTCCCCCTGACAAAGCCAACCTCTTTGGCGCCATATTCTCCTCTAATTCCACCTTAGACGATTCCCACTCTATCCCTCCTACCCCTGCACCTCCTACTGAACCTATGCACTTTCCTATAATCTCCACTCGCAGGGTTGCCGGTGTGTTATCCAGGTTGGATGTGAGTAAGGCGCATGGACCGGACGGAATACCCCCTCGTGTTCTGAGGGAGTGTGCTGAAGCCCTGGCCCCTGTGCTTGCTCGCCTCTTTCGCCTTTGCCTCAAAACCAAAACTTTTCCTTCTTCTTGGAAGCATGCCTTGGTTCAGCCCATCCCGAAGAAGGGTGACCATTCTAATCCCTCTAACTATCGCCCCATTGCCCTAACTTCATCCCTCTCTAAGATTTTCGAAACTATCTTGAACTCCCATTTTCTCCGTCACCTTGAACGCCATTCTCTTTTGTCGGATCACCAGTATGGCTTTCGCCAGGCGAGATCTACTGGTGATCTGCTCTCCTATTGCACCCATCTTTGGTCATCCTCTCTTAGGGATTATGGGGAAACTTTCGTCGTGGCCCTCGACATCTCCAAAGCATTTGACAGGGTATGGCACAAGTCTTTGCTTTCTAAACTTCCCTCTTATGTTTTCTCTCCCCCACTTTGTTCTCTAATCTCTAGCTTCCTTGAGAACCGACCCATGACACTTGTTGTCGAGGGATCGATCTTTCGCTCTGCCAATAGTGATGTCCCACAGGGTTCTGTTCTTTCACCTACTGTCTTCCTTCTTTGTATCAATGATTTACTTCACACTACAACTAATTCTACCCATCCTTACGCTGATGATTCTACTCTTCACTCTTCTTTACATTTCCCCTTCCCCCTAACTCTCAAACAAGATGTTTCTAGAGCTGATATCTTTACATCTATCAATGCTGATCTGTGCAGCACCTTGGAATGGGGAGGTAAAAAATTGGTTAAATTCAATAGTAATAAAACTCAGCATTTACCAATTACACTTTTCAAATTAGATGATCTCCCGCATTTCAGGACGCTATCATTCTGCCAAATTCTTAAATAGATATGCTAGGCCTCACCATTTCCTATCATATGTCATGGAAGCCACACATCTTTGACATTGCTAAAGCTGCCTCCCGAAAGCTAGGAATGCTGTACAGATGCCGCAGCTACTTCACTCCTGAGCAGTTGCTCCAAGTATATAAGGGATTCATTCGTCCTAACTTGGAGTACTGCTCTCATATCTGGGGTGGCTTTTCTTCTGTCCAACTGTTAGATAGGGTGGAGTCAAAGGCATTTCGTCTTATTAACTCTCCTCCTGGGGTTTCGGTGGTAGAAGCGGTACCGTTCTTGCCTAGCAAGCGAGATGTCACGGGTTCGATTCCCGGGCCGGTGGAAGTTGTTTGGACTTACTTCCTAGCCCCCATGAGTCCCAGTTTACCTAGCAGTAAAGTAGGTACCTGGTGTAAGTCGAAAGTTGCGAATTCGTATTCAGGGACAAGTTGTTGGAGCTTCCAATAACTTGATGACATAAACCACTGACTCTTCAGGCTTCTACGCCCTTGACTCTTCAGGCTTCTACGCCCTTAACTCGTGAGACATAAAGGCAAGCATGAACTTAGCATGCTTCCCTGTTGGGCACTGTAAACGATTCTGCGCTTCACCTTACACAAGGATGTGGGGAGGGGCACAAAAAAAAAAAAAAAAAACTCTCCTTCCATAGTTGACAATCTCTCTTCCCTTTCTCTTCGCCACAATGTTGCTTCACTCTCTCTATTTTACAGGTACTTTAACGGGTAATGTTCGGTGGATTTGGCATCCTGTGTACCGCCGGCAAGGCCGTGGGCTCGTAACACACGTCTTGCCCGCGGTGCCCACCGTTTCTCTGTGGATGTTAGTCACACGAGAATAACCCGTTAAAGTACATCCTTCTTTCCTCACACAGCCAAACTGTGGAATGCTCTGCCTTCTTCTGTGTTTCCACACTTATACAATCTGTCTCACTTTAATAAGCTGGTTTTCCGGCATCTTCGTGGTGTAGATTAATACAGTATAACCTTTTCCTTTTCTATTTTTAATATCTTTTTACTCTTATACTTTCGTTCCCCAGGCCCCATTGTTGGTCGATGACCTGTGCCCGGTGGGCTATTCCCCGTAGAAGAAAAAAAAACATCATACAATAAAAAATAACACAATAAATTCACAAAGTAATAAAATAAATTTAATACGTAACAGTTGGCTCAGTCAGTGTGGACGAGTAATGAGCGAAACTGCTCGAGCCAACCACACATCATCCGAACCAACGTATTTCATAGCCAGAACAGAAAATTATGGCGGACACTCGTAACAGTACTATAAAGAGACCAATTGCCAATCAAGGCACTTCAAGGGATCGTCAGGTGGCAGCCAATCTACGCTGACAGATGTAACTTGACTGGAACGTATATCCTGCCTCCTCAGATACTGCACTGGCCAATAGGGAAAAGGCTTAATTCCCCAAAAGCCGACTGACTAATGTGCTAACTGTGCAGGAGAGATGCGCATTCGAGCGGCGCAGCATCAGTCAACGTTGGAGTGCCCTGACTGGTTCGTTGGGCACCACAACTAAACTCAAACTGTGGCACAAATATCATAAACTTTACTAGATGACCAAGTTACCGTTGCAGCTATATAGTTGATCATGCTAATTCCTAAAATCAAGTACAGTACAGGTATAGAAATAAATAAATTAGAGTAAAGAACTAAATCTAACTACCAGGACAGCTCACCCCAAGTGGTGTGTGTTGTATCCCTCTCAACCCAAACAGCTTGGTCACAGCGAGAGGTTCTTCATAGTAACCATCGATGAAGACTGTGATCATGTCGGGGTTGACACCGGGAGCTGCCAACAGTGATCGTAGGGACCTGGCAAGAAATACACTGATAATTTTGGCTGGAAACACACAAGATTTTTTCTATAATCTTAATAAAAATATCAGACAAAAAGCCTCTATTATCATCAAAGACCTTAACAATTAGTTCATCAGCTCTGGCTGACCTGTACAAGTAGTGAGGACGGTTGCTGGCGATGATGGTAACAGGCACATCGTGTACTTGGTTGTTTAGCAGCTGTAAGGAAATGTACAATGACGTCAAATACATAAGCATTAAAACAATTAACTGGAACTCTCTAGTTAATATCATCTTGACCTTTGACCTCTCTTGTTATCATCTTGACTTGAACCTCTGACCTCAATATTATCTTAAGTTCTTTCCCTAACTAAAAACAGTGTACCTGAGTTATAATGGTGAACAATGAACAAGAGAGTTATCAAGTTAACATCTTGTCTACAGAGGAACCAACCAGCAGAACACAGCACAGTAGCATACACCTTAGATCACTTGGAGATTAGCTCCCAATTTATTTCACCAAACATACGCTAACCTAACCTAACCTAACCTAACCCAACGATAGGGAGTTTAAGCATGTGGTGAAATAAGCCGAGGTGTAAAATCATCAGGTGATCCATTTTATAAGTTTAGTGGTTGGAAGTGTTCCACTGTGTTAGCTGCGAGAGATGCAGTACTGTTATCGTGGTCACTGTGGTACAAGGAGGGTGGCCTGAGGGGTGTGTCGGAGTTCGCGCACACAGACAAGAAACAGATAGACAGATACACACACAGAAAGACATATAGTCAGACAAACATGCACAGGCAGACAGCTACAGTAGACAGACACAGGAGGAGTCACAAGGGAAGTATGGTGGGTAGCTTGTGGGCGGGGGTGGGTGGGTTTAGGGGGGTGGGGTTGTGGGCGGGGTGGCTAGTATGTGGGAGGGGATGGGTGGCTTGTGGGGTAGGTGGGTGGGTATGTGGGCGGGGTGGGGTAAGCAGTGGGCGGGGTGAGTACCTTAGGCTGAGATGGGTGGCATGGGCGGGGCTAGTGGGTATGGGCGGGGTGGAGGGTTTAGGGGGTAGGTGGGGTGGCTTTCAGGGGTGGGGTAGTATGAGAGGGGTGGGTTGTTGTGGCCGGGTGGGTTGTGGGTGGGAGCCAGGCTGGCAGCCCAGGCCGGGGGGTGGGCTGCTTGTGGCCGGGGGGGTAGGCACTTTTTGGCCGGGGGGTGGGCTGTGGGCGGGGTGGGTAGCTTGTGGCCGGGGGTGGTGCAGGTCGGGGGTAGGTACTTTGATTTGGGGGACACATACACAGGGCGGGGTAGCTCAGGTCGGGGGTGGGGTGGCTTCAGGTCGGGGGGTGGGTGGCTTGTGGCCGGGGGGTGGGTGGCTTGTACGGGGTGGGTGGTCAGGCCGGGGGGGTGGCTTGTGGCCGGGGTGGTGGTTTGTGGCCGGGGTGGTGGCTTAGGTCAGTGCGCCCTCCATAATTATCATTGAGTCTCAAGGTCTCTGACTGTCCAGGAAATTGGGGAACCCTCTGGTCCTGGTGGCCGGTAGTGCTGCTGATACTGGCTACCCCTCTACGCCCACGACCACACCCAGCTACCCCTCTTACGCCCACGACCACACCCAGCTACCCTCTACGCCCGCCGACCACAACCACATACCCTCTTACGCCCGTTGTCTTCACACCCAGCCACCCCTCTACGCCCACGACCACAACCAGCTACCCTCCATGCCCACGACCACACCCAGCTACCCCTCTACGCCCACGACCACGCCATGTTACCCTCTACGCCTACGACCACGTCCAGCTACCCCTCTACGCCCACGACCACACCTTAGCCACCCTCCTTATTCACGACAACACCCAGCTACCCCTCTTACACCCACGACCACGCCAAGCTACCCCTCTTACACCCACGACCACGCCCAAACCAAGCTACCCTCTTATGCCCACGACCACACCCAAACCCAACCACACCCTCACTTAGCTTCCTTTCTCATCCACACCCATGACGAGCCATTGCAGTTATCCCTTTCACCAGAGCCTCTGATACACCCATAACACTGTCGCCACATCTCAGTGTTTTGAACTTAAGCACACACACACACACACACACACACACTCTCAAAGGTTAGGTGATGCGGGTAGGCTAGGGTAGGTCACTCACAGACTGGGTGGTAAGGGTAGGCTAGGGTACATAAGAACATAAGAATGGAGGAAACTGCAGCGGGCCTTTTGGCCTATACTGGGCAGTCCCATTTACACCCAACCCCTATTGCTCATATAAGCACCCAACCTATGTTTGAAGCTATTCAGCGTATTCGAGTTAATGATGATATTTGGTAACTTGTTCCATTCATCCACTACTCTGTTTCCAAACCAGTGTTTACCTATTTCGCGCCTAAATCTAAATTTGTCTAATTTAAAACCATTGTTACGAGTTCGCTCCTGGTTGGATAGTTTGAGTACCTTTGTAATGTGCCCTTTGTTTAGCCCTGCCTTCGACTTATACACCTCTATCAGGTCGCCTCTCGCTCTACGTCTCTCGAGGGAGTGCAAATTAAGATGCTTTAACCTGTCTCTATACTCAAGGTTCCTAATGCCCGGGATTAGTCTTGTCATTCTCCTCTGAATTCTTTCCAAGGGTTCTATATCCATTCTGTAATACGGTGACCAGAACTGAACTGCGTAATCCAGGTGTGGTGTCACAAGCGCAAGATACAGTTTTAGGATGACCTCGGTAGTCTTGTAACTAACACTCCTTTGTATGAACCCAAGTACTTTATTAGCCTTGTTACGAGCAAAAACACATTGTTTACTTGGCTTAAGGTTCCTACTTATCATTACTCCTAAATCTCTCTCGCAGTCGGATTTCTCTATGGCATTGTTGTTCATCTGGTATCTGGTTTCCCTGTTTACATCTATACTGAGTACTTTACATTTGTCCACGTTGAATTTCATCTGCCATTTTTCAGACCATTCGAAAAATTTGTTTAGATCTTCCTGTAGTTTTGCAGAGTCCTCGTCAGATTTAATAACACGTCCTATTTCAGTGTCATCAGCAAATTTACTTATGTTGCTGTCTATGCCGATATCTATGTCGTTTATGTATATAATAAATAATAATGGTCCAAGGACTGAGCCTTGGGGAACTCCACTAGTGACGTTGCTCCAATGGGATTTAGTGCCGTTAATGCTCATTCGCTGTTTCCTGTCCTGTAACCACGCCCTAATCCATTTAAGGATATTACCTTTGATGCCATGTGCTTCTACCTTTCTAATTAGTCTTTCGTGGGGGACTCTGTCGAAGGCTTTGCTAAAGTCGAGATATACCACATCATAATTGTGCCCTTCGTCCACCGATTCGAAAACTGATGAAAAGAATGTTAATAGATAAGTTAGACACTAGGGTGGTGAAGGTAGGCTAGGGTAGGTCACTAGGGTGGTGAAGGTAGGCTAGGGTAGGTCACTAGGGTGGTGAAGGTAGGCTAGGGTAGGTCACTAGGGTGGTGAAGGTAGGCTAGGGTAGGTCACTATGGTGGTGAAGGTAGGCTAGGGTAGGTCACTCACAGACTGGGTGGTAAGGGTAGGTCACTAGAGTGGTGAAGGTAGGCTAGGGTAGGTCACTCACAGGCTCGGTGGTGAAGGTCAGGGGTGCTGGGTCGCTACAGGAACACACGGAGCCGTAACCCTCGATGTGGCCACAGAACTCACCCCGACGGCGGTGTTCATCAGTGTCCGGCCACCCACACTCACTCTCTGCCGGGACACACCACACTGGTAAGAGGACAAAGATTACTTAAAACACTAACATTAACACTCGCGGTGGTTCCCAAACACGGGGTCACATAGAGGTCATGGGGTCAATGTGGTCCCATAATGCTCATAGTTCAGTTGTCAAGGACTGAAGGACGTAGCGGTACTGTCTCGTTCAGTCGGGACCATAAATTATGGTAAAGGGAATACTGCAGTTACTCTCCTTGTGTCAAGTCAGGTCAGTCCGGGGAAGGCGAACGCTAATGACACGTTATACAGTAGAAAATTTACACGCCTATACCTTTGAATTGTTCTCAGCTCAATGCACTCTGTACTTCCCATGGATGCAGAGAAAAAATGGCAAAAAATTTTAATGATAGACTCCTTACAGAATCTTTGGATTTTGTTCAGTTTCTGTCCAAGATCAGATGTAAAACAGTGTGGCTCTTTTGTTCTCGAAATGGCAGAATTACAGGCTGACAACGAGGCAAGGGTGCTTTTTGCCAACTATGATGGCATGTCAATGTTTTGGGGGTAGTTATCAAATTGACATTCGGTGGTTAAAAATCGAGCTTTCAAGGTTCTGATATATTTTGGAAGTCTGTGAGGCAACTTTCTCGTCAATGGTGTTTATAAAAAAATTATCACCGTAACCGTATATCAAACTTAGATAATTGTGTGCTATGTTGTTTAATTACATAATTATACTCCCAGTTAACAGAAAATTTATTAAATGATAATGCACACACGTTACATATGAATTATGACAGATGTAACTTGTAATGAAAATTAATTATATGATGATACACACAAGTCACATATGGAATACGTGCAGTATGACAGAGATGTAACTAAGAAACAGTATGTTGTGTTGTTTAACCATGTAATTATATCCCCAGGTATAGAACGTTAAATGATCATATAATGTCACATATTAAACATGACAGTTGTAGCCAGTGTTTACTTTTAGACTTCTCAGTTTGTAATACATTTTCCTTATTTACTCTAAGGATCTTCATATATACACCATACATGATAAAATCACACAGGGAAAAGGGAAACAATGGAGAACCTTAGCTTTCGTCTTTATTCAAGACACGTTTAGAGGCAACTAAAGGAACAATAATCATCCCATAGATTAGGAAAACAGTTAAGAAGTGTATAAATCATCATGTGTCACAGAAAGACTTCTGGTTGAAGCAAGTTTGATTAGAGAAATGAATTCTTTAAACCTTAGTGATGGTCAGTACAGAACTGATAATATATTACACAAATTTATTTGTCAGTGGCCCAAGGTTAAAAATGTTGAAAGTATTTGAGGTAGATGTAGGATAGATGATTAGTGGGTTTCATATTTTTTACCTGACCTGACATGACTAGTTATGTCGCCCGTTCTTATAATTTCTTCTTATGTTTGCTGTGGTAATTGGTGTGTGGATTAGTGGATGTCATGATTTTTGACCTGACCTTATATTTGGAAGGTCACCCTGTGTACATAAGCTATTTCCCTGTCTTTGTAATCCAGTTGCCTCTGAAGATGTCTTGAATAAAGACGAAAGCTAAGGTGTTCCATTGTTTCCCTTTTCCCTGTGTGATTTTATCAAGATTTATCTTATCCACGTCTCCATTGTGGATCTACTCTAAATACAGCATACTGTATATAATGATTATTATTTTTAAGGTTAAGGTGGGGAAAGGATGGAAGGCATGCCAATAGTGGCGTCCCACAGGGTTCTGTTCTTTCACCAACTCTCTTCCTTCTTTTTATCAATGATTTACTTCACACTACAACTAATTCTATCCATTCTTATGCCGATGATTCTACTCTTCACTCTTCTTCACATTTTCCCCTTCCCCCCTAACTCTCAAACTAGATCTGTTTCTAGAACTGATGTCATTACTTCTATCAACGCGGATCTGTGCAGCATCTCTGAATGGGGAGATACAAACTTGGTTAATTTCAATAGTAACAAAACTCAATATTTACCAATTACACTTTGTAAATTAAACGATCTGCCACCAATTACATTTCAGGACTCTATCATCCTCCCAAATTCTGAAATAAATATGTTAGGCCTCACCATTTCCTCCAATATGTCCTGGAAATCACACATCCTTAGTATAACTAAAGCTGCCTCCCGAAAGTTGGGAATGCTGTACAGATGCCGCAGCTACTTCACTCCTGAGCAGTTGCTCCAAGTATATAAGGGATTCATTCGTCCTAACTTGGAGTACTGCTCTCATATCTGGGGTGGCTCTTCTTCTGTCCAACTATTAGATAGGGTGGAATCAAAGGCATTTCGTCTTATTAACTCTCCTCCTTTAGTCGACAATCTCTCTTCCCTTTCTCTTCGCCGCAATGTTGCTTCACTCTCTCTCTTTTACAGGTACTTTAACGGGCAATGTTCAGTGGATTTGGCATCCTGTGTACCGCCGGCAAGGCCGTGAGTTCGTAACACACGTCTTACCCGCGGTGCCCACCATTTCTCTGTGGATGTCGGTCACACGAGAATAACCCGTTATAGTACCTTCTTCTTTCCTCACACAGCCAAACTGTGGAATGCTCTGCCTTCTTCTGTGTTTCCATGCTCTTACAATCTGTCTCACTTTAAAATGCTGGTTTTCCGGCATCTTCTTGGTGTAGATTAATACAGTATAACCTTTTTCTTCTATATTTTCAATTTCTTTCCGTTCTTTTTTTTTCGCCCCCCAGGCTCCGTTGTGGGTCGTTTGACCTGTGGCCGGGTGGGCTAATTCCCGTAAAAAAAAATGCTGGGGCTCAACGCACAGCCAGACATGAAGGATAGAGAAGTCACGACAGTCGTGGGGGTAAAGGTTGGAAAAGAAGTTTAATGAGTTAAACAGAGGGGGACGACACCCCTTGTTTTACATATTACAGAGTTTGTTGGCTAGCTAAGCTAACCTAGGATTTAGGATGAGTGCACAATGGTTACTTTAGTTGACAATGACTAGATTGATTTTACAATTACAGGATCACCTGAAGAATCGTCGCCCCAGAATGTCCACCTGAGGAATTGTCACCCCGGGATATCCCACCTCAAGAATTGTCACCCCAGCCTGCTCCACCTGAAGAATCGTCGCCCCAGCCCACAGTGAATATAATATGTTTAATTAGAATTTTGTCCAATTTCTCCAGTTATCACAAGTATCACACTTCACTTCAAGCTTTAAAAGTCTGTTTTGCTGAAGCCACCGAATAACCTTAGAGGAATCATCACTTAACAGTGGTAGGACGGCAGTTTGGAAGATATTGCGTGCCATGGTCGACTGGTGATTATGACTAAACATTTTTGAGCCCATTTACAATTACTGTACTACATATTCACTACACACTTGTACTACATAAACACTACAACACTAGTACTACATAAACACTACAACACTAGTACTACATATTCACTACAACACTAGTACTACATAATCACTACAACACTAGTACTACAAACACACTACAACACTAGTACTACATATTCACTACAACACTAGTACTACATATTCACTACAACACTAGTACTACATAATCACTACAACACTAGTACTACAAACACACTACAACACTAGTACTACATATTCACTACAACACTAGTACTACATATTCACTACAACACTAGTACTACATAATCACTACAACACTAGTACTACAAACACACTACAACACTAGTACTACATATTCACTACAACACTAGTACTACATATTCACTACAACACTAGTACTACATAATCACTACAACACTAGTACTACAAACACACTACAACACTAGTACTACATACTCACTACAACACTAGTACTAAATATTCACTACAACACTAGTACTACATATTCACTACAACACTAGTACTACATATTCACTACAACACTAGTACTATATATTCACTACAACACTAGTACTAAATATTCACTACAACACTAATACTACATATTCACTACAACACTAGTACTATATATTCACTACAACACTAGTACTAAATATTCACTACAACACTAGTACTACATATTCACTACAACACTAGTACTACATATTCACTACAACACTAGTACTACATATTCACTACAACACTAGTACTATATATTCACTACAACACTAGTACTAAATATTCACTACAACACTAGTACTACATATTCACTACAGCACTACTACTACATATTCACTACAACACTATTACCACATATTCTCTACAACATTAGTTCTATATATTCACCACAACACTATTACCACATATTCACTACAACATTAGTTCTACATATTCACTACAACACTAGTACTACATATTCACTACAACACTATTACCACATATTCACTACAACACTATTACCACATATTCACTACAACATTAGTTCTACATATTCACTACAACACTAGTACTACATATTCACTACAACACTATTACCACATATTCTCTACAACATTAGTTCTATATATTCACTACAACACTATTACCACATATTCACTACAACACTATTACCACATATTCACTACAACATTAGTTCTATATATTCACTACAACACTAGTACTACATAATCACTACAACACTAGTACTACAAACACACTACAACACTAGTACTAAATATTCACTACAACACTAGTACTACATATTCACTACAACACTAGTACTACATAATCACTACAACACTATTACCACATATTCTCTACAACATTAGTTCTATATATTCACCACATATTCACTTCAACATTAGTTCTACATATTCACTACAACACTAGTACTACATATTCACTACAACACTATTACCACATATTCACTACAACACTAGTACTACATATTCACTACAACACTATTACCACATATTCTCTACAACATTAGTTCTATATATTCACTACAACACTATTACCACATATTCACTACAACATTAGTTCTATATATTCACTACAACACTAGTACTACATATTCACTACAACACTATTACCACATATTCCCCTCAACACTATTACCACATATTCACTACAACACTAATACTACATATTCCCCTCAACACTATTAC